CATCAACAAAGCTTCTGGTCCGGACTTGATTCCTGCCATTGTATTGAAGAGGTGGGCAGCGGAGCTTGCTCTTTCGCGTCTCTTCCAGATATGAATCCGGAACCTTCCCAGAAAACTGGAAATTTTCTCACGTCCAACCCATCCCAAAAAAAGGAGCTAAGACCGATCCTTACAACTACAGGAGCTTCTGGATTACCTCGAACGTCACAGCTTGATTAGCGACAGGCAGTATGGTTTCAGGCACCAACGATCCACAGGGGACCTCCTAGCTTTCGTCACGCAATTGTGGAGTAATCTTATCCAGTCTTATGGTGAGGCTCATGTCGTTGCTCTTGACATGACGAAAGCGTTCGGATCAGCTGTGGCACGCTGCCCTCTTAAGCAAACTTCCATCCTAAGGCCTCTCAGAAAAGCTTTGCAGATGGGTGGCTGCAAGATATCCCTCGTAATTGACGGGTTCTCCTCTTCATCCCACAACGTCAACGCGGGTGTTCCCCACGGATCGGTCTTGGCTCCGATGCTGTTTCTCTTACATATCAACGACCCGCCTGACTTTGGCGTCCCATCCTAACCGTGTCGAACATCGTACATCCAGAACGGGCCGATACGACCGCTCCTTTGTCCCGAGGGTTTCGAGACTGTGGAACAATCTACAAGAGGAAGCTTTTCCCAGTTCTACTAACCTTAGGCAGTTCAAAAATTTCTTTGGGATCATCATAGCAGCTGCGGTGTTCCGGCATTTAGGCTTCCGCCTGCGCGGCTGCTTCGATATAAAAAAAAAGCGCCCCAAATTACCCGAATGTGTAGAGCATTGTTAGCATAGAGCCACCGATTTAAAGAATATCAAGGTTTAGCACCTAAAGGCGCATAATTTCGTAATTTTTTGTAATGTCAAGTATGTAAGATATACTAAGTGACATATAAATCCGAACACCCAGTTTAAATGGTTTTATTTTAATAAAAGTTGGTGAATGTATTTATCTTACTGTAAATAACAAGTGAAAAAATGTTCAGCCTTATCAGTTGGACATTCCGGTTTTTATACTGCTTTTTTTTAATTCACTAACGCTCTAAAAATGAATATTTCAGCCGCAGTAAAGAATCAACGTTGGCGGATTTTGGTTCTTGACATCCTTTACGATCGGTTACGATGCCTAGAGTACGGAGACCTGTACGATTTCGTCAATTTAGCGAGTTTGATAGGGGCCGTATAGTGGGACTTCGGGAAGCTGGACTTTCTTTTCGGGCAATTGCAGTTAGAGTGCAAAGAAGTGTAGACACTGTGGTTAGGTGTTGTCAGGCATGGCTTCGAGAAGGCCGTACGCAAAGAGCAAGGGGCACTGGACGCCGCCGTAGAACAACAGACCGTGCAAATCGCCGCCTAAGATTATTGTCCTTAAGGGACCGTTTCTCCACTACCAGGTCCATTGCAAACGAATGGTTTGCAGAACACGGAAGACCTATTGGCATGCGAAGTGTTTACCGACGAATGAGAAGTTTTGGCTTGTTTTCATACCGGCCACACTGGGTCCTCCCTTTAACTCGAGAACACCGACGTAATCGCCTTGAGTGGTGCAGACAACGGTCACTCTGGGATCAGGAATGGAACAGTATTGTCTTTAGTGACGAGTCTCGATTTTGTTTAGGCATGCACGATGGTCGTGCCAGGGTTAGAAGGCGACGTGGTGAAAGGAGGAATCCACAGTTTTTTGTTGAAAGACATGTTCATCACACTGTTGGAGTTATGGTTTGGGGTGCTATAGCTTATGGTTCCATGTCACCTTTAATCTTCATCAGAGGTAACATGAACGCGCAGCGTTATATCCATGAAGTTCTAGAACCCCATCTTTTACCCTATCTTGCCCCCCTTGCAGATCCAACTTTCCAACAAGATAATGGCCGACCACATGTTGCAAGAGTCACAATAGACTTCTTTCAACATAATGATGTCACATTGTTACCATGGCCACCAAGATCTCCCGACTTATCCCCAATTGAGCACGTGTGGGATATGACGGGTAGGAGATTGCTCAATTTGCAACGTCCTCCTCAGACTCTAGAAGCACTTCGAGAGGAGTTGGTGGTTGCCTGGAATGAGATACCACACAGGAGGACATTGACCACCTGATCAGAAACATGCCTAGGCGCGTTGGAGAATGCGTAGCACATCAAGGTGCATCCACACATTATTAAAGGTTAACGGGCTTTAAAGCAGTGCAATCATTTACTTATTATGCTTCATTAAGTACTTTTTTATTAAAATAAAACCATTTAAACTGGGTGTTCGGATTTATATTTCACTTAGTATAGTTTTGAGTATAATCCTCGCAAAGTACAGGAACTGACGCATTTTTAGGGATTACAAATATCTAGCAGTGGAAGCTACGAACAGACACATGTGAGCGAAGAGTGGCAGTCAAAACATAGATGCTGTGAGCTTAGAAATGATTTTTCGGTGTATATCATATAATTTGCTGTAGAAAATTCTTCCACGTGTGCGATATGTTATAATTTATTGAAATTGCTCCAATCTGCATTATTGCAAATAAATACACATAATATTAGTAGTACCCAGTACTGGACTTATCAGACTTATATCCTTATATCTTTTTTTCAAGTTCCGAATTTACAGACAGTAATAATGAATTTATTCCAAAGTTTTAGTATGTATTAAGTAGTATTTAGATTAGGTATGTTTGTTTATGATAGGATCAACTTTCCAACCGCATCGATAAAGTGGTTTTTGTGATATATATACTAGGTTAATTCAATTGTGCCTTTACTAAAAGCCATGAAGAAATTATCCAGCTAAAAAACTCAGGCGCGTTGAAACGGGATCCTAAGTTTTTGTGCGATACATTTTATACAACGAATTCAATAAAAATTTTAAGCATGTTTTGTGGCTCATTGTGAATTTTATTTGAATTGAGTTGGTAATGGACATGTACATATAAATAGTTATGAATGGTAAAGTCTGGCATTTGTTCATTGACTATTGCATTATGATTGACCGCGGTCCCATAAATCTTTTTTATAGGTTTTCAGTTATTATTCATGTTATACAAACTGATAAAAAATAGTGGCAACATTCTACAGAATCGTGTCTCAAAATACCATTTTGAACTACTCGTAGTTTACATTTCAAAAAATCATACAGCAAATACGAGAGTATAATATATCAGCGCTTTATTTTGAAACTCTTTATGTGTACATTATAACCCTGAAGTACAAAATAACTCTCTTTAAAAATGGCGGACTGGCAGGCTGTCACAGTTTTTGTTTACTGAATCTCTTATAACTCAACAACCAATGATCAAAACGTTATATCAATTTGACAAAATGGGCAGATTTTGGCATGGAATATTTCCTATTTTGTTAAATATTTGGATAGACCCAAGAGAAGATTTTGGACTTTTGGAATGGGTTTCTAGCAGTCCAGATCTGTCACCTATTGAAACTTTGTGGCACGAGATAAAAAAGGTTCTAAGACAACATCGTGCTCTTACAATCACCGAACTGAGACAAAAGCTTCAAGAAATATGGGATTGTTTTACACCAAATTTTTGCCAAAACTTGGTTAACACTATGCCCCAAAGAATTTCAGCCATAATAAAAAATAAAGGTGATGTTACCCAATGGTAATCTTTCAATTGTTGCTTTGTTAACTTCGCGTATTTATTTGCACATTATTTATTTGTTCAGATGTTCTATTAGTTATAGGTCTAATATGTATTTTTTACGACTAGAGTGTATCTAAAATGCTTTTGAGAAAAAAAAATTGTTTTAGAAGCAAATATTTTCATCATGTTTAGTTGATAAAAGCATATTTAGGTACAAATCTTGAAGTGGGCCAACTGAAGTGAGAAGGGGCTCGTAGTTTATAGGTTGTAAATGTCACTTAAGAACAGAAAAAAGGGTACCGGTGAGTTTGTTTTAAATTCTTTGGTTTTCCTGCTAGATAAGTTAAAGTTGGCAATAATGAGGTTCTTTATCATAGACTTGAACTAAGAATGAATTTTAGACATGGGAGAAAACGAGTCTAAGGCCCGTATCGTCAGTGGTCCCTACAATTGTAGGTTGCGTTTATGGCCTCCTTGATTGTCATACTCTTTTCTCTCCTTCAAAAATTTCTAGATTACACTCGTCCCGTGTCAGCGTCAGCGCTCTCCTATTGTTAAGACATGTTTTCCTTTTAAATTGTAGGAAATTTCAGGCTGATAAAACATGATATAACTCAAAAGCAAGCACAATTTGATGCAAATAGATGTTTGTGACATAACCTCAAAATAGAGCTCTGACACGGAAAAGTAGAAAACTATGACAATCAAGGAGGCCATAAACGCGCCCTACAATTGTAGGGACGACTGACGATACGGGCCTAAGAGCTGTCTCAACTTTATGCATAGTTACATTTTCTAACCAGAGACTAGGCAGGTACTTTTACAGTATAAAATGATTCAACCTGTGTTAATTTTAACAATTTTAAGCGAACGAAGACGCGGGTAATAGCTAGTCAAAATACCATATTTTCTAAATGGCCAACACTTCTTTCTTTATAAAAACCCTTCTTAGACCTAAGCATATATACTTGTCAACATAATTATGACCCTAGGAATATTGCCACTGTTTTGAATCATATTATATAAAATACACACCTTTTATTCTACATTTTAATGTTGATTCAAATAAACGCACTAACATGCACTACTGCGAGGTTTTCATCAATTTTAAGACTTTTAGTAATAAGTAATGTGTTGGATCCTTTGTGTTTTGTTTTGATCAAAATATTTCTATTATTGTATACAAATTACACTCTATAGTCTTAAGGCATAGGAAATTGCAAAGTAGTATAGTTGTTGATATAGCCAGAAAATCCAGCCAATATTTCCCATGCTATAATTTTGTGAGAAAGGTTATGTGATTACTAAACCATCTATCTTCCGATATAGTTATCACAATACTGACTAGCTACTAGTTCTATGCCTTGACTGCCACTGTAAATGAAGTCGAAACCAGAATATGTTACCGTCAGTAACAGCATCATCTGTAGACTGCGAGTAGCTCTCCTCGAGTTCACTTTGGTTTTGATGGGTATCCATTACAGGTCTGGCAATGCCTCGCAGCATGTAGTTTTCCGCATCTACGGGCAGCAGCGTTGTATATTTTGCATCTGCTGCTGCCCTACGATGCATTTTGATTCTGCCAGCCTCTGTTAGGTTTTGTGTATCCCTCTGCGTACAGCCGTCACACTGCCACCCATTCATCTTACCATTTCTTGGTCGGTGTCGGCTCCACGGCACCGTTATCACAAACCTTACACCACAGAATGGTCTAACAGGGCTATAGATGCCGGTGCCGCTGCCAGACCCTTCCACAAGGGACAGAAACCGTCTACAGTGACCGCCGCACGCGCCTACAGATGTACGCACCACAAGCTCGCGTTGACAACTGACGAAATCCAGCTAGAGCCTAGGCCTAGAGGATCGCAGTGTGCTGGTGAAACCTACTAACCGACCACGTTGCCACGTCTTATTCGTACTCCGGGGAATAGGTATTTTTTTTCTTCCTCATCGATACGGAAATCGGGCAATATCTCTGTAGCAATATGACCGTGTCGCCCGGCAACACGTTCTTATCTATAAACAGGGTGGGCCATTTACAGTGGAATTTGTTTATAAAAAAAGACATTAAAAAAATATTTTTACTTGTTCATTTGAAAAGTCTTTTATTTTGATCCAAGGAGATTTGTTGATTACTTTTCAAAAATGATATCGCACAAATGGCCACCTCTGGCCTTGATAACCGAATGTGCCCTTTTTTCGGCGTTTTTCATCACGTTGGCCAATGTTTCGGCGGATATGGCGGCAATTTCTTGACGAATATTGTTCTTGCGGGCAGCTAGAGTCCTTGGCTTGTTAGCGTATACAGGGACCGGAACAGGTCAGGACGAAAATAATATGAAAATATGAAGTTTTTTTTTTGGAAATATGAAGAAATATGAACTTTAAAAAAATATATGAAGTTTTTTTAACCAAATATTAGTGCAAATTGCAAATAATATATTTTTTTAGTAATAATCCCTGCCAAATGGCCGGTTAAGTCAAATTCAGCTTTTTTTCAAAATAAATTTTTAACGAAAACTATTAATTTATTAGAAAATTGTTTAGGAACAGAAACAGGTACAAAACATTGAACGAAACAGGTAAACCTAAACAAATCAAACATACAGTTAATTATTTTCTCGGTCTCTTAGCAAAAAGTTTGTTGTTAAACTTTTTTGCCTCTTGCCTATTTGGTTTTGAATTTGGGTCACCTCTTTTTCCTTATTCTCTAGTTCTTTTTTTGATGTTAAAAATCCCTCAATCAATGCTTCAGCAATTTTGGCTTCTGCAAGGTCACCCTTTTTTAATGCGCCTTTAAGTCTGTCTGGGGCTTCATTTATAAGTTTATCTGATACCATGGCTTGTAGCATCATTTTTTTTTCTTTTCTAGTTCGATTTCTAATTGCGTCACCTCATCTTTACTTTTATTTGCATCATCTCGTTTTAATCTTTCTTCTTGCAATAACTTCTTAAAGCATTTTCATCATTTTCTTTTTGTTTTCTTCTTCTAAACTCATATTATAATTTTTGTAAGCAACTCGTGCCATTGCTATTAAATTTTTGCTAATGGGCACAAGTTCTGGCTTATTGTCATAAATTTTTAATGAGTCGTAAATAATGCGCCGTGAATTTAGCATGTTTTCTTTCATATTTGTTTTCAGCTTACACATTACTTGATTAGACAAAGAGGACCCTCTTTCAACTTCGGCGCTTCCATGGTTAATACTTAACGCTGCCTTAAATAAAGTTATTTTATTTCGCCTGCATGATTCGTTTTTTCAAAATAGTAGTTCCAATATTCTTCTACTCTAACATTTCCTTCTTGAGGCTCTTCCTCTAACTGTAGCAATTTCCATTCGTCAACTACACAATCCAACTTTAGATCTAGCGGAAGGCTATTTAAAAGATTAGTTAAATCTTTAACCGTTTTTTTATGTGTTGCCATCTATATGTCGCTGTATGCTAAAAAATCCTCTGGAAATGTGAACCACTTTAAGACAAACATTGCAAAAAAGTTCATTTTCACTGTTCTTTATGGCCCAATGTGAAATCAAATAGTTATTGCTGTCTTTCTTTGTCAACCATTCTTCTTGAAATTTAGACATTTTGCCACCATTCTACTAAAATCAGTCATATTTTCCAACCAAAAATAATTCCTAAATTAAAATTTTTCGATTTTTGGTTACTAAACTTGATTTTTCTGTTACTTGGGAGTAAAAATACAACACTAAAATATGTAATTTTAAACTGTGTAGACATCATTATAAACCCTATCAAGGTTTACAATGATGACCACTTCCTGAAAAAAGGGGCTAGCAATTTTCATTCCCTTTTTATCAAATAATATGTACTGTTTACTGTTTGGTAAGTCGGGCAGAAAGACCTGATAGCGTATTATACATTCAAAAAACAGTAACTCTACCAATCAAGAGTACTTTTGAATATTAACAAAGCTTAGAATTAAATGCAAAAGCCGGAATTGCATACATGCTGTGTCTGCTATCATTGAATGACATAATCAACCCAGTAGAATACGTTAATCAAGGCTATTATTCAACAAGACGATATATTCGCAGAACATTGTACTAATAATTTGGAGGGATCCGTTCGTTTTGCTGTCTATCCCTGATGTTACAGTACTTATTTTCCAGACGATCGCAGCCTCCTTAAAGATCAAGAAATCACGAAAATTAACGCAGGACACTTCGAAAACCATATGAAGTCCTGAATCCAATGCGTGACCTAACAAAATCAAGTAATCTGGGCACCCTATTCATTAGCTCTCAGTTTGTAGGAACATCCGATAGAGGTTGACGTGGCAACGTTGCAGGTTAGCCCCGTAAGCATAATTGCCGGGTTGCCAAGTCTGCCGATTCGGAGTATTTTTGGCGAAATGGAATTTAGAAAATAGCAAATACGTTTTTAACGTCTAACGTCCCCAAACCGGTAGAGCAAACTGATATGTGTTCTAACGAAGCATACTTTGAAAAAATACTATCATGTTAAAAAATCAGCACTAGGGACACACAACATTGTTATCGCGTCACATTTTAAATTTGACAAAATCTGATGTTATTAGAATTGTCATTTGTACTTGAAAAATGACACCGTGGTGGCTAAAACGTCGCCGGTAAACAGCATTTCAAGCATATATGGTTTCCTTTGACGGCCAGACAAATATGGAGTTCGAACTTTTGTCAAGTTTTTCACATAAAAATTTATATATTTTTACGTTTCTCATTTTAGTTCATCAAAAACACCGGAGTTTTCGAGTTTGTATACAGGGCGTTTCTTAATAAGTGCCCAGTACTTCACAGGATGATTCCTTGGGTATTTTTAGTTCACATCACATGAAGTTTTAATTTCGAAATCATGAAAAAGTTATAAAATTTTGTACATGCAGTAGTAACACCAGAATGAACTCAAACCGAATCCGAATGTTCTACTTTGAAAATATACTGAAATACGAAACATTGACAGTAAAAAATAAATGCGCCTCAAGCACGGAGTAAATCTACTCGACTCATTTTTTTCATAATTTCACCCAACAAATATCAGATTTTTCTGAAATTGCGTACCAAAAATCTCATTTCGTAACGATATCAATTTGAATTACTTGCGAATTATCTAAAACCGCTTAAATTTTTTCGATTTGTGGACCCATAGAAACTCTGTTATGTTGCATTGTTAGCGTTAGATTTGAACAGAGAGATTAAAGAAAATCATACAAGGATACACGCCGCTACCGATTTTGACCTCGCGGTAACATTCATCGGAGCCGGCTACCGAATCCATTTTCCGATGTGGCAACACTGGCTATAACCTCGGCCGCAGCGCGAACCGGCGTGTCAACGCTTCGCCGCTCCGCGGTGCTGCTCTACCGCTGGCGGGTGACAGAACTCAACGCGACGTTGCCACATCTGCGCATCCAGCTAATTCCATTGAAAATGGTCGGGGGCCACATGCGTTAAAAAAATTGCGTAGAGTAGGTTGACTCGGTAATGTCACGAATTAATAACGGGTGGTAGAGGATAGGAGGCTCGTGGATGGATTTTAATGGAATTTGGAATGCACGGAACCAAATGTGCAATTTAAGATTTTTTTTTCAACATTGGGGATCTCCGATTGCTTTAAACTTAGAGCTTAAGTGGAACACCATATATTTTCGCAAATTTGGATTATATAGTTCGACATTAATATAGTGACGTTGCCTAGCTAATTTTTCCCCAAAAATTTGTTTTTCATATTTTGATGGGACAGGTAAAATAATTTTAGGTTTAGTCAAAACGATGTTTCATCATAAAGGTTGACGCTGCTGCCTGTCAACAGAACGAAATGCCTTATCAAAATGTCGTTGAATGCAGCTTATGGAGTGGCACTAAACAATAGTTTAGTTATGCGTTTTGCATTACGCACTTTAATTGGAAAAATGTATCATCTGTTTTCTAATTTTACACCACGATGATTAATTTACGTTGTTGATAATACTCGTACTTGCCTGATACTAATAATTTATATTATAAGTCACGATTTGACAATAAATGCATTGTTATCAAGGGATAACAGTTTGAATGAAATGCACGAAGTGGCTTTATGCATTGTTCAGGTCATATTCGTCATACAGCATACTTTTTCTTATTGTTAAGCGTTACCATTTTGATTCAATTTTTATGAATGCACGACTGTTACCACCGTTGCTGTCAACAACAATTGGCCAATGCGATTCATTCATTTCATTTCCAGCGTTAACGCAGGAATCATACGAAAAGTATTCAAATGTTATACAACGTATTTATTGTACACAGCTTCGCTCACATATCGCACAATATATATATATATATATATATATATATATATATATATATATATATATATATATAAACTTGAGACGTGGTCATTGTCGTCTAAACCAGTTAGGTGAAAAATTAAAGCTTCCGATTTTTGTTGGGTACTTCGACAAAATTTAAGCAAAGAGGACTCTTTATACTTTTTTTAATTCTCTCTAGCTTTCAATGGACTTTGCCATCATCATCAGGAGCTGCAATTACAATGATAACAGTAGCAACAAAAGTGTAAAATGAATTTAAATTGAATCAACTTACAGTAGTATGTGAGGATGTTGCTAATTGTTGTTTTCGTGTAGGATGAGGGAAACGTCCAGTAACATGGTGAGAACTGGATACATGGTACAATGGTTAAAATTATATAAAATATGACAAGACAAGTTAAAGACAGATTAAAAATTATTTAGAAAACATTAGAGCATTATAATCATTATCATTGTAATTGCAGCTCCTGATGATGATGGCAAAGTCCATTGAAAGCTAGAGAGAATTAAAAAAAGTATAAAGGGTCCTCTTTGCTTAAATTTTGTCGAAGTACCCAACAAAAGGCGGAAGCTTTAATTTTTCACCTAACTGGTCTAGACGACAATGACCACGTCTCAAAAAAAAAAAATAAATAATATATATATATATATATATATATATATATATATATATCTTCAGCGGCCTGGATATAGCATTTTCGCTATATCAGGGTAGGCGTCAACATTAAAAAAATATCACGTAATTTTCATAAAACAAATCCTTTCGTTTCACATTGAATTCTCAGAAAATAAAAAATAGAAAAAGTTCCTTGGAAAAATAAAAAAATGCGGATCTGATTGACTGATGAAGTCATTTCACAGGGTGTCTTAATATTACCGTAATGGAACAACATTTTGAGTTGTCCTGTATAACAAGTTAATCAGTAATTCTCACTACAAAAAAATACAAGGAAAATATTCACCGAACATTTCCCATTGTCATTTTCCAAGTTTTTACATGTATGCAGCATCCATACATCATACTACCAACTATTTACTATTAACAAAAATAATCGTGCTACTACAAACTGGCAAAAAAGCAGAAATGTAAGCAAAATTTGACAGCAGATTCTCGAAAAATATGGAATTTTGTATTATAACATACTGGGTGGTCTCTCGTTATTTTTTCCATAAAGCGGTTAATGAAGAAGGCACTGTAATGCGCTATTCAAATGGCATTTAAATGGCTGAGATTCATTTCATTTATGTATGAAATCATAGCATAAAGATACGTTCACATAATAAATTCATAGTGTTGTGATATCAGTAGAGGAAACTTAAGATTTATTAATATTCCAGACCACCCTTTATAAAGCACCATTCTTTTGCTTAATCTCTCATATGATAATGTCTCATATGAAAAAAACCCAATATATGACAGTAGCGCTGAAAGTTACGACAAACGATAAGTGAGGAACCGTAATGAACCGAGGTTATTCCTTGATTGTTCTGACATTTGTCTTTCTTACACACCACACAGATCTGAGAATCAGGGTTTAGACGTAAATGTTTTGTGGTCCAACGGCAATGATTATAAATGTGATTCAAATATAGTCAAAACCACGAAAGATGACTATTACGTCATACCATAAATTGTACTGAAGTAATATCAATGGACGTAGGTCGATGATAAAATCACGATGTCAGGAAAATAATGCCTGGCACGGAAGTGATGGAAGTTCCCCTCAATGCGCTCAACCAGCGTCCAGAAAGACCGAGCGCCGTTGCACAAAAACTTTGTTCACTATCGCGTTCTCCACTACTATAAAGGTATATCGGAGAATGTAAAACGAATGAGGCGAGGGGTCTGGTTTAGGGCAGTTTCCTCTACTGAAAAAAACCATATCTAACGAGATTTCTCTTACGTACCGATGTATATTATAGTTTCTAATATCAAAGGAAAAAAAAACGAAGACGGATAAAATCTTGAAACTGCACACCCACAAGCTGGTAGTATAACGCAACATAAATTATTCAAAACGACCAAAATTAACATAATTCTTACATTTAACTAACAATTATAAAGAAAACTCGTAAATATTTGATACGTTCAACAAATTTAAAAGATGTCTTGGTCTTTAGCTGTGCTATTTCCAACAGTTTCGTGACATATTTTGCATTTAAGGTTTCTCAAGCCCACATGTCCCATCAAATGATGATCATAATGACTTTATTGCTTACAAATAATACAGTGAATTTAGACTTGTTAAGCCAGTCAAAGTAGCAAAAAAACACGAACAAACTTGACAAACGTAAATGATGAAAGTGACAAATCACAGTGCACAAACGGATACGCATTTTAAAAAGTTAAAAATATATAACTGAAGCACTTACCTTTACATTTAACTCCCACATGTCCTTGACCCCAAATATAATCTCGACCTGCAATTAAAATTTCACCGATTCATATGAATAAAAAAACTCATAATTATTTAGTTACTGAATACAAAAAAATCGCGGAAGGTAGGCTGACTCTCCACTTAACATCCAACGCCGACGATAGTTCATAAAGTTAGACCCATTGAAAAAAGTTAGTTACGAACATGTATAACAGAAATTAAATGGAATAAGTCAGTCAAACGGGCCCGTAGACATTATTTCCCTGCCCTACTGATAGTCGGTAGTAAGGCCAGAACACTTGTCAAGACCGGTACGCTCGCCGGTGATCCCAGACAGCAGAAGGTGTAACGCGTATCGAAAGCATGTATCTACAGGGTGACTTTGAAGTTGAGTCATTAATTTCCAGATAATGATTGTAGAAGGAAGATGAACCAAAATATGTGTGTAAAAATAAAAAAAAAATAAAAAAAAAATGTTACCTTGTTTTATGAAGTATCCTCCCGACAAGTATTTCAATGCGGACCTGTATTTGATCGTGAGGTCCCCTGTGAGGTCTTAAGTCACCTGATTCACGAGCCCTTTGTACTACATTAACAAAGGCACGAGGGGTTGGTTGCACTCGATTGGGAAACCGATCCACATAAATCCGTGATGCCGCGTAAATAAGAATCATGTCCACAAGTTCAGCATTTTCGTAAACATGTGCCATTTTTGATTTCGTTTGAGCCCCTATTCACTCACGCGTTACCGACTGACACTGACTGTATACAACTGAATAAAATAATTGTAAAAACATCGTTCCAAATTCTTTCGCTTTTTTTGTTTCCGATGCGATGAACCGATAAGGCGGATTATATCCGTTGTCGCCAAACACGAGCACATAATATTATTATTGAGACAGGGCGGTACTCAAACTTCCAAAGGGCTATAACTTTGTTACTTTAATTTTACCAGAAAAATGGTAAAGGAAAAAACATTTCTTTTGATCAGATCTACTCACTGTTAAAATAAATGACTCAACTTCGAAGTCACCCTGTATAATTCTGTTGTATGGGAAAATGTATGGAAATCCGAGGTTGGGAACGAATATATGTATATTCTGAAATTAATAAAAAATAAGATAACCCTCCTACATCTCCCTAGTCCAATTTTTGTACGCACAAAGCTTTTTTCAAAACTGAAATGATCAGGATCCTCTCAAACGACAAAAACGAAGAGCGATTTTTATTTTTTTCGTGTGCCCTAGCTGCGCCGCCACTAATCCGATTTTCAAAAACTACAAAGCGTTTTCCTTCTTGGGATGGTAGTAACCTTGTATGAAAATTTCATCAAAATCCGAGTGGCGCTTCTCAAGTTAGATGCGGTTAAAAAAATAGCGGACAAACCGACAGACAGACAGAATTGAGTGAAATGGTTTTTCTCGATGTCGTATCACATCCAAAAAACATACTATCTCAATTTCAAATTTTTCGCGATTACAATACTTCCTCGCCAGTTTTGGCATAGGAAGTAAAAATGTTTTCAAATTCTGAAAATTCTATGCCTCCATTCAAACTTTCAACTTATGCGCAATGTGTCATCTCTCTTGCTTCGTCACTCGATATTCTCAGAAATTCACTACGATATATTTCTCACCTATTATAATACAAATATTTCTCGTTCGAACAAAAGAGGTAGAAAAACAATTGTGTTTTTTGTGGGGCGTGGTTTAGAATAATCCATATTTATTGGTGACTTGTTTATTCCAGATGACCAATCATTTCAAATATGATGAACGCACAATTTTTGTTGGGTATATCACTACACGTTGTTCCATCCTACATTGATAATTTAGCTTTTGAAGGCGTTACCGTGCTTACAATTATTATATTTTGCTGTTTATTCAGAAAAAGTATCCTGTGACAAAGGTTGTGTGTGTGTGTTTAGTGTCTATTGATCATTTGTTATGAACATTATACATAATTACAGATCTAATGTAGTATGTAAGTAGCTTGACTCTGAAGTTTTTGATAATTTTCATCAAATGCTATTGTTTTATTATGTTTAGAACTTACTGAAAAGGACTATGCAAGGTATTTATTGGTTATCAATTTCAAAACAAAAATGTGTCGATTACTGATCAGGTGTTTACCTTAATAGACGTTAAAACGATGAAGTATCATAAAAAATAGAATAGGTAACATAGCACGATACTGTAATTTGTAAAATCCGTACAATGGTATTATTAGGTCTGCCCGAAAGTTATGTCCGTTTTTAGGTCATAACAAAATATTATTTCCATACTTTGGATAAACTTTAGCGAATAATACAGGGTGTAAACGTTATTATAGTCATTATTACCCCTATTACCCATTCCAGTAATTTCTACCATAACGTATAATATTCTAATATTGAATTTCTACCCAACGAAAAATCTTGTAACGGCAAAATTAAGTGATAGTCGGAGGGTGCCAGGTCTGGAGGGTATGTGGGATATGGTACAATTTCCAGGTTTGCATCAGGGCTTCCAAGTCAGTACTTGGGCTGGCACTATCATGCAGTAGTATAATTGTCTTTCTACTAAACACTGCCGACTTTTTTCGGAGTGCTAACTTAAATCTAAATAAGTCAGAGCAAAGCGCCATCTATCACACCAGAATCGTTTTTAGAAGAACTGTTAGGGATCTCAGGTCACAATCACCACGTGACCGCTAGAGGACTGACGATTCTGGCTGTAAAGTAGATGTGGTTTACTTGCCATTAGTTTAGATATTTCACCATATAGACAATTTTTCTTGGTGAGGCTCAAATTCGGTTGTAGTTATTGATAGAAGTTAGATATCTGTCAAATGAAGGTGCGCGTGCCTGTTTAAAATTGTTGGTATCAGACAGAATTTTTCGATACACGTGATGATAAGCTTCCTGGCCAAAACCGACTCAACCTACTTGACTCAATTTTTCTATAATTGCATAATGCAAATGATAAGCAATGTTCACTATCCAGACAAAACGATTAAATTTAATATTATGATTATTAGAACGATGTTGTAAATATTCCACAAGATTAAAAACTTTTAACCAGGCCATTATTTTATCTCGGCGCTTTTATCAGCTTATCAGACAAAAAAATACTTACAGTGTTTGCAGAGTATTGGAGTAAGAAAAAACACATCCTCCAACTTATGCTCTGGGAGTTTATTGTCTCCTTCTGAAACAAAATAAAAAAAGGTCGAATGCGGGGTAATCTAGGAAGCTACGTAAAAGTGACGATAGTTAGGTTGGAGGTCATATTTAATGTTACAGGGTTTGTCGGAAAGTAATAGGACTGAGTCGATTTAAAAAAATTTATTGAGCCAATCGTTACAATTCTTTAAAAACTTTCAAAATAGGCGTCGATGCAGCGCTGCCAGCGCGACTTCTAAGCATTGAAGGCGTCACGGAAGGCATTCTCCGGAATAGCCTTGAGAGCCGCGGTGCATGCTGCTTGGATCCGCTCTGTCGTCTCAAAATGCTTGCCTTTGCCTTGGTCAGGTAGCTGTTCACAAGGAAGGCGGTGTGAGCCGGCGCGTTGTCGTGGTGCAACTTCCAGTCGGCTGCGATGTCTTGTCGGACCCGACTGACCCTTCGTTCGAGTCTCCTGAGCACTTTCTCGTAAAACTTGGCGTTGACGGTTTGTCCAGGAGGAACAAATTCATGGTGGACAATGGGACAATGAGCATCGTTTTCACTTTGGATTTTCTCATTCTTTCCTTTTTTGGGCGAGGAGACGCCGTCGTGTGCCACTCGGAAGATTGCCTCTTTGTCTCGGGATCATACTCCACGACTCGTCACCTGTGATTACGTTATTCAAAAATTGGGGGTCACTTTCACACATGTTCAAATTTTCTTGGCACACTTCCACTCGCCGCACTTTCTGGTCGTCAGTGAGCACTTTTGGGACCATCTTCGCGCATGTTCAAATGCTGTGTCACAATGTCATGAACCACAGATTTTGGTAAATTTAACACCTGGGCAATTAAACGAATACTTAGTCGACGGTCTGAGTTCAAAACTTTGCGCACACGAGTCACATTATCGGTGTTTGTCGAAGTCGAAGGTCTTCAGCAGCGACCTCTTCCCGGCACTCCAAAAAGGCCTGGTGCCACCGAAACTTCTTGCTAAAGCAACACCTGGGTAAGCCTGCTTGATCATATCAAACGTCTCTGTCGCAGATTTACCGAGTTTCACACAGAATTTAATCGCGTACCTCTGCTCTAACGAACGCTGCATTTTCGGCTTGCACCACTCACAGAAACACGTCGCGCGTAAATGCCTGCCCTGACTCTCCAAGTGCTCGGAGACATTTGTTAGCTAGGAACGCCCTCTACCGAATCCAGTCGGTGCGTGCACGCTCCGAAGTACAGTCATGACGGAAAAAAATGAGTCCTATTACTTTCCGGACAAACCCTGTATACACAGTCAAAGATGCCAATTGCTGATCAGCTGTGAAGAGATTAGGGCTTAGTTTATTGAAGCGTTTTTATGGTAACGTTTTTAAATACGAACTTGGAACTTCTAAAAATGCAACACTCACCTATTGCATCCGATACTTCTACGCCACAAGCGGAAGGGTGATGTATAGTTTTTCCAACTTCTGAACCTAGAAGCTTCACGTACTCCACTAGAAAGAAAATATAATTTATGAATTCTGAGGTTTTGAAATCAGGGTACAATGGAATCATGAGAGGACATAATCTAAAATTCTGTTACAACGCGATGGAGTATAGCGATTTTCGTTCAGCTTCCTCCAGTTTTCCCTCACCACGTTTATGCTTTCCGATATTTTTTATTTTCAGGTTGCACAGCCACCAAGTCAGAAGATCTTGCTGAAAATTCATTTTCTTGAAATGTACTACTTCATTAGGATCGCACAAACTACTGGATATATTGCTCATTTAGTCTGACAGCTAATCGATTCATTTCAAAAAAATGGTGTGCAATGCCTTACATGTGAGTCAAGTTTTCACCTTCGTAAGAACGACTGTATGGCAAATACTGATGATAGTAGTAATCTACTAACAATGTTGGTAGAAAAAGAGAGAAAGATAAAGTGCATAGCATATTTACATACATAATTCAAATTTCGGGTATATTGCGCTTAAAATGGCTGTTTTTCTTGAAATAATGATGGAATTGCATTTTTTATACTGAAGCAGCCGCGCAGATACACAAATACCGAGACACCACGACTTCTATAAGGAGCTTGAAGAAACTTTGTTAATTCTGTTTCTGAACTGCATGTAAAAACATTCACAGGTAGATTGTTCCACAATATCGACACCCTAGCAGCAAAAAAGCGCTCCTGTTTAATTGTTTCACAATGTGCCTGATTTTGCGAGAAATTTACATACTTCACTGAATGCTGAGGGCTTGAAAATTATCAACGTAATTGCTCAGCCACCTGAGTGTGATAAACTTCAAGAAGACATCAATAGTTTCATAAACATAGGTTTATTTTTCTACATAATCACTGGTGTGGTCAATGCTTTTTTGTAGATGCTTTTGACATTCTTGTATGCCAATATCATACCAGCTTGCAGCCAGGTTGTAGAGGAAGCAGTGAGTCTCATCTTTGACATCATCAGAACTAGATCCCTTTCTGGACAAATAAACTGGTATCATGTGGCATACAAAACTGCCACAGCTTCTCACATTTATGTAGAAAAATATGCCAATGGTATTGTAAAAGAATAGAAGACATTGTTTTTAGGATTATCCTCTTACTCATATGTATAAAGAAATTGCTGGGAATTGTTGCTCAGATCATTGTGTACTTAAAGTATATTTTCAAAATACTGTACTTTGATTGATAGATAGTCAGCTGTTGGTATGACCCATATTACCGAAATGTGCAATATCTAACGTATGAACTATATATTAAACGTCCTAAAAAGCATTATGGTCAGTAACATAGTAGTAGCATATTAAAAATAGATGGTCAGAGCACTTAAAATCTAATAATTGTAGGTCAAGTACCTGGAACATATCCTACATTTGTAGTCCTTCTGTTGTATGCGAACAGCCATCCAGGCCTCCTTGAAGGACTGGTGGAGAAAGGGCTCTGTACTGATATCTGCAGAACATCCCCCTTTTGGAACTCCAACTGCTCCTCTGACACTGGTTTAAAAAATTTGATAGCCTGATACAGAGCATAGTCACCCATTTCAGTCCCTCATCTAACGGCAGTGAACTACTGCATGCATTCTGCATTGGACAAATAATTGCAATCGACGACAGTGTAGGTTATAACCAAATTTGAAAATAAGTGAAACTGAACGTCCAGAAGTCACTGTTCATAATTTGGTTGGGTAAATGTCACGTCCGCTGTGTTTTCTTCATTAGGTTTACTAATGTCGATGTGAAAACGTAAAGCCTAGAAAGCTAGAATGCAGTTTAAAATTTAAACGAAAGTTGTCTATTATATCGAATTTCCTTTTTCAGAGTTCTTCTTGGTAACGCTTCATACAGCACAAAATGTATATGTAGTATGTCTTATTGGATCGGAAAAATTCATTAAAAAATATTTGCATTAAATTTCCAATCCACTCCTCAACTCCTACAAACAAAACACTAGAAAAAATTAAATATGGCGTCGATAGGAGATCATAGACGTCAAATCTGTCAAGTGTCAATACAGTCGAAATAGTTGGGATGCTCTCCAGAACAGAAGCAGTTATTATTGACGATTTGGAGACAAACAGGGAATCTCCGAAACATGGGGCAAAAAATCAAAGGGTGATTGTTTGGACCATTCTAAGACTCGATGATTTTCGGAATAGCGCATCGTTTCCTGGACATAAGCTCCTAAGCGACGCCACTGGAAATCATTTTTTTGATATAAGCGTATAAATATCCTGACGCTGAATATTTTTTCCGAGCATGATCGGCGATAACCATGTTTGAGCGGGTTTGCTTTGTGTTTTTTGCTCCGAGCTTCACCGCCACCCGCCACTGGACCGATTTTCAAATAGCAAAAATTTTATCAGGATCCAAGCGGAACTTTCCCAAGTTATAAGCAGACAGACCGACAGAAATGAGTGATATGTTTTTTCGGGATGTACAAGCCATATAACATCCAAAAAACATCTCACTTCCTAAATTTTTGCGGTAATGTGATGTTAAAATTCGTGTACGTGTGACCATATCACCAAACCGCAAGTAAAATTAGGCCCTAATTTCGAAAACAGCGAAGTGAATATGTTTAATCGGATTAACTTATAAAAGCAGGCGATTTAAATTGGTACTATCAAGTCACGTATCGAATCCTTCATCCGATCACCGTGAATGTTCGTTTGAAGCTATCGAATGGTCGATATTGCACTGAAGTATTCCCATCACCATGTTGTCTTGTGACATCTCCAATTTTGACATTTAACTATCAAAGTCAACATGAAAAATATTTTTGTATAATCAATTTGGTTAGGTATATTTTTTCGGCATAAAAATATGAAACTTTAAAGTCAAAATTCTAGTGTTATTAACCAAAATGCCTGTGAGCAGATTAGACGTTATATACAGAAAGATTCTGTTGACCAAATTATTTACAAAAGGCTGGGGCTCACCAGAGAACTTACAAAGGTTAGTAGCTGAAAAGTAAATATTTTTCACATCAAAAAATGAGCAGTATGATAAGAATTTACCCTTTATTTCAGACTGTTTGACATTCGTCAAGTGATTTCGAATAGAGAAACATGTTACAAACTAGTGCCAAAAGACTATCCAATTTCTATAATAAACGTGAGTATATCGTATATTGTTTACTTTGATCTAAAATAATGTCTAAATTCAGCTCCAATTGCTTTGTTTTGGTATTTCCTACCGCATTGACACGGCATAACTAAACTATCAATGATTTGCTAATTTTTAATTATAGAAAACAGTGCATTCTGACTGTCGAATAATTGAGGGAAAATTTACAAGCCCTTTTGCAGTCCATTTGCATGGTTTGGTGCCAGATGAAGTGAAAGAATCCTACTTTCAAATGGTGTTACCCCTCAAGTGGCCAAGCGCACATAAGCCTATATGTATCCACCTGGCTGGGACAGGTGATCATGTAAGGTGATATGCTGCATTCAAGATTTTGATCATTCATCCATTTGGATTGCTTTTAGTATTTTTGGAGGAGGAGGAATGTAATGGCAAAACCTCTGCTCAAAGCCGGAATAGGTGCTATAATTTTAGAAAACCCTTATTATGGGATAAGGAAGCCAACTGATCAAACACGCTCAAGTGTTCACTATGTTACTGATATATTTGTGATGGGAGGCTGTTTGATATTAGAATGTATAGTTTTATTGAATTGGTGTGAACAAGTCGGATTTGGGCCTCTAGGAGTGACTGGTATTTCTATGGGTGGCCATGTGAGTATGAAACATCAAATAAAAATTATTTATGAGCCTTATCACGTATATGCAAAGATAATCACTATGTAGTATAAACAAGATTGATGTTTTATTACCATCATTCTAATTATGTACTTATTAGTAACAGCATACTGACATTCTGGGGACAGATAGTTGATTTTCTTTGTCTAGAAAATGGCTGTGCTTTAAATAAGTCCATGAATCTTTAATTTTTTATAGCATTTAGCAGTATATGAACCAACAACATTTTTTGGGCGACTGTTGACGCTATTTGATGGAAACAGAGATATGTTAATTTTTGGCTCAATTACCTACAATTGCGCATGAATATTGTTATAACTTTCTTGTTTTGAGAGGTAATGACACAAAATAAACGTGAGTCTGTTCTGTAATGTATACTCGATCAGATCAGATAAACGGATTGTGCAAATCATCTCAAACAAATGACTGATCACCTTCCAAAGTCATACAAACACGTGGAGTGTATAAATAATTTCAAATTCGAAATTCGATTATAAAAAACTATACCTTTTTTGAAACCTAGTTTTATTTACAAAACTTCTATGATTTATTGCTTTTCCAAAAATATGCTACACATCATTTTGTGTCATTATCTCTAGAAACATAAACAAAAACGAAAAACGATCATATCTCGGTAACCGCAAAAATCATCAAATAGCATCTCCAATCGCCCAAACACCATGTATTTTTCTGTTTGATGAAATATTAATGGCAGAACATTGAAACTTCTTAGAATTTGATAGGAACTCTGTGTAAGTGTGAATAGAATCTAAAATGTTAGACATCATTGGTTAACAGCAGCAAATTACCATGTCACATTTGTAAAAATATACTTGACCTTTATATGACCTTCTGGTCCGGACTTGATTGCTGCCATTGTACTGAAGAGGTGTGCAGCAGAGCTCGCTTCAGTGCTTTCGCGTCTCTTCCAGATATCTTATGAATCCGGCACCTTCCCAGGAAACTGGAAATTTGCTCATGTCCCACCCATCCCAAAAAAAAGGATCTAAGACAACTACAGGCCTCTAGCTCTGCTTTCTGCATCAATCCAGTCTTATGGTGAGGCTCATGTCATTGCTCTTGACATCACGAAAGCGTTCGATCAGCTGTGGCACTCTGCCCTCTTAAGCAAACTTCCATCCTATGGCCTCCGAGAAAAGCTTTGCAGATGGTTGGCTGACTTTATCTTTGGCCGCAAGATATCCGTCGTAATTGACGGGTTCTTCTCTTCAACCCACAACGTCAACGCGGGTGTTCTCCAGGGATCGGTCTCCTTTGGGCTGGTCGGAGTCCAGATCACCGAGGACCTGATCTGGCACGAACACATCTCGTCAATAGCAGCAGCTGCTGGGAAAAAGCTAGGCTATTTGTTTAGGGCTAAGACGTACTTTTCTCCGCATGACCTTCTCACTCTATACAATGTGCCTGCCAAGCAGACCCGCCTGACTTTGGCGTCCCATCCTAACCCTGTAGAACGTCGTACATCCAGAACTGGGCGATACGACCGCTCCTTTGTCCCGAGGGTGTCGAGATTGTGGAACGATCTACAAGAGGAAGCTTTTCCAAGTTCTACTAACCTTAGGCAGTTCAAAAATCGTATTAACAAAATTTCTTTGGGATCATCATAGCAGCCGCGGTGTTCCGGCATTTAGGCTTCTGCCTGCGCGGCTCCTACGATACATAAAAAAAATGTCAAGGTCATGTCCATCATCTTAGACAAGTTGTCAAGTATGATCACTGTAATTCCTTATGATAATCGTTGATGATACTCAAGTTAGGACAAAAATTATAAAATTTGTTTATCAGTGACCCCTTGGTTTTCAAGAAATTCCCATATCAGAAATCTGCACTTTTGAACATACAGACATGTGCTGAAAAGGAGCATCAATTTTCAATTGACAAAGAAATTCATATTTCTGGTGGAAGATTTCAAAAAACCTGCATAATTTGGAAATGCAAGCAAAGTACCAAGTTGTTCTACTTGAAGCCAATTTTTGCCTGAAAAACGTGCATTGTTTCGAGGCGGACTTTCAGTATCTATAAATGTCATCAAAATCCGAGTGTTATTTTTTACGAATTATACCAAACTTATGAAAAAATGAATGACAGCTTTTCATGTCATAAATGTATAATGCAAATGGTTAATATTTCAAATACAGGAACCACTTTTATATCATTTTGGTTTATTTGTATGCTGTGACATCAATATATGCATACTAGCTGTTGTTAATTCCATTTGAACTAAAGCATTTTGCTTCACTTTATCATTGAAATGTATGTAATTATGATAACAACTAAGTGACTTAGTTTTGATGAGTAATTATCGGGTATAAATCATCAGCAATAAATATTTTATGCTGTTTTAGCAAAACATGCATCACAATGAATTATTAAACAAGATACAAAGTTAGTGAGTATATTAAAATTCTTTCAGTGGTGTTTTTTGCATGTTATATGACACGTATATCATGAACAGTCATGCCAGTATGATAAAGGTTTGTCTATCGCTCAAAATGTCAGATCTAAATTGAACTACACAGATCCTTGCCATCATTCATTTGAGGACCTTCCATAAGAATTCAAGCTTCTAAACAAGTTCAAATTAAAACATTATTTGTTTGATATGCAGTAAAAACTATTCGCCGGTGCAAAAACTCATAGCATTCATGAGTAAAGCAAAAGTTGATGATGGAGGACAAAATCGAAACGTCAAGTTGAAGTTCTGCGTATACCGTATTGGAGAAAAAGTTGCAATGTAATGTGCATTTTATTTTGGAAGAAACGATCTTAACAAAATTTGCTTAGAAATACTATGAGTTTCTGTCGTTTTCTTAGTTTCCTTTCCTACGGTCCTCGTGCCTCTTACCGTTTCTGAGACCTCCACGGTGAGGGTAAAATTTGAAACATCTGCCATAGTTTTTTGCATACATTTGCGAGAGATCCTAATTCCATAATTTTCGCTAGATGGCTTCTTTGGCTGCATCCAATTGGCCTAAACCATTAGTGCTAGTCCCTTGCTTATCCTGGTCCACAGCATCATCAGTTTTTACTGAGGTAAACATCCCAATTATTTTTTGATTGAACCTGTGATGCAATATGCATTGATGTGCATATATTTTACATGTATAAAACATATTTTGAAAAACAAACAACACGTGTGCCGTATGTACAGTCTGCGATAAACAAAAGTTCGCCAATTTTGGCCTGAAAAACAAGCTTGAAATCGGTTTAAAGTTAACTAATCTCAAGGTTTTGTAGAGAAAGGTAAAGGTAAAGGTGTCCATTTTCGAGTTATACGCGACTTAATCCCTGAAAAGCCTTAAAAATTGGTATATTCAATGCTTACAAACTCGGTTAAAAAATATAATTTTTGAGATTGCCAAGTATCTAAATTAAAGTTTAAGCCTTGCTTTACAGGACCCTTAAGAGTATGTTGAGATTACTTTATTTTAAAGCGTTTTTTATCCTTGTCTATTAGGTCAACATTGTTTTTTACAGACAATAAGCTGAATATCAACTATGATTTTTTTCTAATATGTCTTCATGTATAATTGGCTCTGAAAATATTTGCATATCATCGGGGAATATTTATGTATCATATATGCAGATTTGCAATTCTTTTAGGGCGTGATGAGCGAATCTATAGACTGGGATATGTTGCAAAAACAATATTTGTCGAATAAAATGTACTGTGAGGAACTCTCAAAATCATGTAAAATAGTTGATGACCCTTTTGCATGTGAACTTGGCCGAACACCAGGTAAATAATATTATACGTGATTCAGGCATTTGAAGTATGTATTTTGTAATATATTCTAGATATTGCATTTGAGACAATCGAGGATGTAACGGCACCGAATGTGACACCTCATCAGCTGATCACCTTTATAAATGACATATCGAATTGTCCCGAGATAGAATATAAACCTTCTAGTCATACGAAAAAATTATTTTCGTCCACACATCCGTCAATAATAAATTTGTTCAAACAAGTACATCCAGTTTTACTTCCAACCAAAAGGGTTATTGACATGAAGAAAAGAGCAAGAGAAGCATTGTGGTTTATGAGAGGTTTGAAAGAAAAAAATTTTTTTTTGAAAATATACAGGGTGTTCCTTAATTAATCTACATGAAAAATTAATGTTAGTTTGATTTGTAAACTATGGTCCAAAAATGTTTCCTTACAAAAACACGGGGTGTTGAAGTTTTAGGAAAAAAAATTGAAATTAATATTTTCAGAACCGCCTCAGATATTTCACTGATATTTAGTACGTAGTGAAAGGTGATAAAGTTGAATATTTTTCAATGCAAAAATAATTTTTAGCATTAACAGTGGCGTGCATAAACACATTAGGGGTAATGAACAACAACTGACAACATAAACATAACATTAATTTCCATTTTTTTCCTAAAACTTCAACACCCCGAGTTTTTGTAAGGAAACATTTTTGGGCCATAAAGCAAAGTAAAATTAATTTTTCATGTAGATTTACACCCTTAACTATTCTTATATCATTAAGGAACACCCTGTGTCACCTGACAACTGATTCTCTTCCAGGAATGATGGATGAATGCACCCATTTGAAAAACTTTACCGTGCCATTTGACACCTCGCTCATAATATCTATTTGTGCAAAGGCTGATGGATATGTTCCTAGAGTAGGTGTATCGAAAATTGAAGATATTTGGCCTGGGGCAACTGTCAAATATGTCGAATGTGGACATGTTGGAGCATACCTTTGGTATCGAAAAGTCTTTATGTACGTCTTCTCGTAGTCTTGATCTAATAATTTTCCAGTTCTCATGCCATAGACGTGACAAATACAGGGTGTCCCATTTTAATAGTCCCACCTGAATTAAGTAGAAAAAAGAAAAAAGTTTCAAACAAAAATTATTGGAGTTAGACGGGACAAAATGATGGTGACTGGCGTCGCGTGAGTTTTTAGGGCAAATGTAGCATAAAATTACTGGTGTTGGAAGAGTATAGATATACTGCCTCTACAGAAGCTTCTTTGAAAATGATCAGGAGCCTCTGAAATAATTTTAGCGATTTTTTTATGTGTCTTTGCTCCTAACTCCGCCGTCACTGGACCGAATTTCAAAAACTGTAAAGCTTTTTGGCCCTCAACGTCGTAGTAACCTTGTGTGAACATTTCATCCAAATTCAAGCAGTACTTTCCAACTTATAGGTGGTCCCAGACCGACCGACGGAAATGACATGGTTATTCGTAATTCCGAAGTTTTCCTTTGGAAATTTTAACTTGACAGGGACACCGTGAATATTGATCTCAAAAATGGTGGAAATGAGATTTTGTTTTTTATGCATTTTGTAGTCAATATAACGTCTCTTCGTAAGCACCATCCCGGAACATATGTATATTTTCTAATTTTAATGAGTAAGACTGTACGAATCCCTTTTTTCAGAGAGTCTATAATCGAGGCATTCAACAAAGCAAAGCGGAAAATACCCCCACCTTCACCGTGCCATCACGAAATATGAAACTATACTGCTCGGAATTATGTTATGCTATTTTACTATCTTTATTGTTGAGACATCTTTATTGTTATACATGTACCTGACCAAGTTATATTCAAAATTCTAGTTGTATTTTTACATAATAAAAATAAAAACTGCAAAAAAATAGAACTGTTGTTTTTTTTCTACAAGCTGTTCTTTTTGCCGCATATGGGCGACAGAAGGAATTTAGGGGGGGGGGGGGGGGGCGATCATCGGCAAGAAGCAACTTCTACAGTAATGGGCAAAAGTACATAGACAAATATGACTATTTACCTAAATACCTTTAGAAAACGAATTCGTACTTCATTGCTCCATAACAAATGCGTTATTAGTAGAAAAACTAAATTCCTTGTTTCTACATTATCTGCAATGAACACAATGAAAGTCTGAATATAAGCAGTTTTTATGAGGGACAAAAATATGTAGACAAATTCTTATCAACATTAGTTTAGTACAGTTTCGTGTCAGAAGAGGATTAGTTTGTGTTTATCAATATTGTGGACTAAGTTGAGTGATTTTAAGACCATGCGGTGTGGTCCAGAAATTTCTATCGATGTGAAAACTAAGATCATTGAGTTATGCAAAGATGGTCAACGTCAAGTCGACATTGCCAAAAATTTGAAGCTGAAGAGTAAAGCAATATTGAACAAATATAAACAAAAAGGTATCTTGAAAGCCTCTAAGAGAAGTGGTCGGCCTAGAAAACTAAATGCTAGATCAGTTAGATTAATAAAAGTAATTTCGTCCAAAGATCCGTTTAAAACCCCAAGACAAATAAAAGCCGAAATCGAGACAAAAAGAATTGTCGGTGTTTCTAGGAAGTGACATATAAGTCCGAACACCCAGTTCAAATGGTTTTATTTTTTATTTATCTTGACACCCTGGCAGATCCAACTTTCCAACAAGATAATGCCCGACTACATGTTGCAAGAGTCACAATAGACTTCTTTCAACATAATGATGTCACATTGTTACCATGGCCACCAAGATCTCCCGACTTATCCCCAATTGAGCACGTGTGGGATATGATGGGTAGGAGATTGCTCAATTTGCAACGTCCTCCTCAGACTCTAGAAGCACTTCGAGACGAGTTGGTGGTTGCCTGGAATGAGATACCACAGGAGGACATTGACCACCTGATCAGAAGCATGCCTAGGCGCGTTGGAGAATGCGTAGCACATCAGGGTACATCCACACATTATTAAAGGTCAAAGGGCTTTAAAGCAGTGCAATCATTTTGAAATTTTTATCATTTACCTGCTGAGAAGGCTCATCATACTGCTATAGGTAAAATAAAATACGATAGTTTAAAAAATGTATTTATGATGATTGAAAACACATATACGATTAAATCTAGTCTAATCACCTGATATTGTTTTCTAACATTTCAAAACATTAATACGACATGTAGTCATTGATAATATTTACACATGTAGTGTAGTGATAAACTATGAAAACTGAAACGAAAAAAAATTGGAAGATGTCGAGAAATTTGGAACCACTCGTTTCAACCTTCAGTTTGAATTTGTAGACTGTGTTTGCAACTTGATATCTCGTTATATTTCTTTATTCAAAAAGCTGCCTAGGTATACATGCTACAGAAACCAGGGACTTTTTATGTGATTCAAGATGGTAGATACCTCGCAAAGCCTTTCGCATTTCAATTTCGTTATATTTTTGTTAGGCTAAACTGTCCTAAATGCTAATATTTTGATTTCTAGACATTAGTTTCAAGTAGCTCCAATTCCCTAAACAAAACGCTGATAAGCAGAAAAATCATGATGATATATATGCATTTCCAGTACCAATGGTAGAAAAAGTTCCCAGTCTCAATCGTATTTCAAAGGCAGGCATAAAATACTCCTCAAAAAATAATTTTTTCATCGAGGCATATACGTAATTGGTGGTAAAATTATAATAAGCAACATGATAAAATTCTTTTTTTTTCACTACTATGCGGAGAAATTACCATTATTGACCAGTCAGGACTCCACTATATGGCCAAACTTCAGTATATTTTCAAAGCAGAATGGGCTAAATAATTTTGTATCAAAAAGAGTGTTCCGACATTTATTGGTTATGGTGTCAGCACTATTTTTTTTTTCGATTTCTATCTGAATTGTCTCAGATTTGAATTATTTTATCCACCAATTATGTCACGCCCCGGCCGGTCCTATACCCTATTTGACGAGTATCGATCACGCTTTGATGTCTACGGGGGTGAACAGCTATAATTTGTTTGTAGCGTTTTGTTTTTTAATGCAAATCGACTTTTCTAAATAAAAGAGCTGTACAAAATGAATCTGTAGCGTACAAGAAACCAAAACAAAATGCGGCTCTGACTATCTAACGTTGACGGATCCGTCAGAATGACACATCCTGTGCAGATATGGGAAATTTTGAGATATTACTAAATAATCAGCTGTCATTGTACCGTGATTTATACTCGTGAAGTAGGGTATAGGTCACAATTTGGTCGACTCCTTGATATAAAAAAAGTAAGAAAGAAAACAATCCTCACCTGTATTAGATACCTGTCAATTTAACCTACTAAAATACAAAATACAGTTTTTAAGTGAACATATTTTATTAAATAAGGCAATCGAAGGATTAACAAATCAAAACGGAACTCTAAAGAAAATGCCTATTAACGAACCATATTATGAAATTATCAAAAAGGGCTTAAAGTAAATCAACTTTCCATTCGAAGTGGACCACCTGAAAAGTTAGTATCCTCAATATCATTTCTAGAATGAATTTCTCAAAATCAAATTTCAATATTTTGCCCCTCAAGACAGTACGTCAGGATGAGGGATGCAACTATATATCGGAAAACCGACAAATATCGATATATCGACAACTAAAAATATCGATACTTATCGATATCCACGATACGCCATATCGATATCGAAAAATTCAATATATCGTATCAAAATATCGATAAACCCACCCAAATTAGAATACCCACATAATTGGGTAAAACGCTAGCAACGTAACAACGCTGACTCTCTAGAAAATGAGGTATGACGATATTTGTGATATGACATGTGACATGTACACGTGTTGTACCTAGGGATGCAAACTTTTTATAAACATCGATATATCGATCTATCGATATATGGGTCTATTAAGCCGATATATCGATATTTCATATTTTTTTGGAAGCTTACAGAAATTTGAAATCCAATGTTGTTTCAGTTATATCAAACAGTTATCGATGATGTATGTATATAAATTTTTATACTTATGTATGTAAAGTGAAACAAAATTCGGATAGGTATATAAAATGTATTTTTCTTTCCATACATTTATTTGGGAAAATTAATTCCAGTATCTTGTACTAGCTATTGAACTTAAAAATAGTAACTTTGGCAGTCTGCTTCCTTGTAGCCGGTTTCTGCTCTGAGTTATAGTGGCTTCTGCTTTTGAAAAAATACGTTCAATGTCACATTCTTCTGGATGTTTGTGTTTAATATGTGACGTTTTAACTCGTTTGTTACAAATAGTGCAAACGGCAGTACCGTCTTCTTTTTTGAAATATGACCATAATCTACTTTTCTTCATATTTTGAAATTAAAATTGAGTATTAATTTATCAGCAACCAACAGGTACAACACGTGTACATGTCACATGTCATATCACAAAACATATACACTTGTCATATCGTCATAGCTCATTTTCTAGAGTCAGTGTAGTCACGTTGCCAGTTGCCCGATTACATGGGTATTCTAATTTGGTTGGGTTTATCGATATTTTGATGCGATATATTGAATTTTTCGATATCGATATCAGCGTATCGTCGATATCGATATTTTTAGTTGTCGATATATCGATATTTATCGGTTTTCCGATATATCGTTGCATCCCTAGACATGTACACGTGTTGTACCTGTTGGTTGCTAATAAATTGATACTTAATTTTAATTTCAAAATATGAAGAGAAGTAGATTATGGTCATATTCCAAAAAAGAAGATGGTACTGCCGTTTGCACTATTTGTAACAAACGAGTTAAAACGTCTGGAAATACAAGCAACACATATTAAACACAATCATCCAGAAGAATGTGAAATTGGATATGAAACCAATTGTGGCAACAAGCGTTCCTTCCGAACGTATTTTTTCAAAAGCAGGAGCCACTACAAGGAAGCAGACTGTCAAAGTTACTATTTTTAAGTTCAATAGCTAGTACAGAATACTGGAATTAATTTTCCCAAATAAATGTATGGAAAGAAAAACACATATATACCTATCCGAATTTTGTTTCACTCCACATACATAAGTATAAAAATTACAAAATTACGAACGTACAAGGTGTAAACGTTATGATCGTCATTATTTAAATGGGTGATAGAACGGGTTAAAAGATGCAAAAAATTTCGTATAACATGGGGGTCAAACGGCAATTTTTAGAGAAAAGCGACTTTAAAGTAAAATAAATCTGACAATGCTGGGAGTTTGATCATATAGCCCTGGGACAAATATTTCAAGTGATCCACCGTCTCGAATGCAAAGGAATATACAAACATCCAAAATACAAAACCGGTCACGGTGGTAGCGCAAGCGCAACCTAACGGACCTTAACTGAGGGCATGAACAGCCCATGCTTAGTGAGCCAAACGCCTACGCCAGCCCCTAGCAACAGTGAGATCAGATTGGTGAGGAAAAGCGTTGCAAGCCCCTTGCGAGAGAAAACACTCTCGTTTCCGACGCGAGCATAGCGGATGCTCAGCAGGTCGCGCTTGGGAGCGCGGAAGCTCCAGTTCTTCGGTGGCGCTTGGTCCGGACGACTGCTCCAGTCGTTGAAGAAGTCCGAGTCCTGGAAAGAAAACCGTTATTGAAAAATTACACAAGGAGAATACCGATCCAATAACAATTAATTCGGCTTTTCGCTACAGTTTCTTTTTTCATACTTACAAAACTGGTATCTCTGCTCTCAGAGTTTATATAATAGGACTGCCACTCAAGGTTCAGCGAATTGCCCTGGACAGGGCTGTTGGGAGGCGACTTTGGGCTGCTGCGTGGAGAATCTCGGCGAGATCCAGCCAAAGAAACTCTAGCAGAGGACTGGTTTGACTCTTGAGCCTCTCTAAGCAGGCGCAGATAGTCCTCTACAGTAAGCTGCTGAGTTATGGACCCAGGAGTGCCACCACCTTGGGAACATGTAGAGCCAAAGCTCACATCTACCCATGATTCTAGAAAAAAAAATAAACTGGCATTTTGGTGCACAAAGAACAGATCTGAATGATACATCACTGGAAAGTTTTCTTCAATTAAGCAAAAATTAGAAAGTAACTCTGTATAATAGGGTGTTTCTTGAACGTGAGTTCAAAAATAATGAGACTATTTTATTTTTTGACATTTTTCTAAAAACTAGATAACTTATCCAAAAACGGTATGTAAACCTTCTTGATTATCAAATCTGTTCAAAACGACTTCTTCAAACTATAGTGCAAAGCTAAATAAAATACATGATATGGTTTGTGCATTAAAAACGCACTTTCTAATGAAAACATGGAATGCAACTGATTTGTATCATAACAAAAATATTTTACAATCCTCATTCACTTCATAGAAAGTATAATCCCTCAACTGAACTATAGTTTTGGCACAATAAAGTAAGAATCATTTCTATATTTTCTACATCACTGATTTTATTTGAATTATTGCATGTCTGGAAATTCAGACTCATCACTTAAAAAAATGATCTGATTATTACTTTGTGATAAAAGCATCATAAGTTACATTACCTATGGCACTAGTCTTGCTTTTGAATATTATAAAAATCTTTTACAGGGAGAATACCATACGTAAATATAAACAAAGTATTTAAAAAGTAAAGATAGGACCCAAGTTGAGCCAACACACTGTTGAATGAGATAAAGTCGCATGAATGGATAAAAATAAAACACGACACACCCTGAAGAATGTTATTTATCTATCAAAGTTGAATAACTTAAACATACTGACAGAACACAATAATAAATTCAACATAAATGGCATATAGGTATGATAAACACATAAAAATATATAAGAAATGTATAATATATCTTCCTAAAGAAAAAAATAAAGAACCATTTTTTGTTTCCGTTCTATTTTTAAACTTCATTGTCCCACACATACTGGTTTTCTCAATATATTCGCTTTACTCAATGAATATGTATGAATGCATTGATTTAAAATAGTTTTTTGGATAGCAGACCTCATTACTTTGTTCATCTGTATATAAAATTTTGAAGGACACTTCCTAGCAATGTTAAGCAATTGTAAACTGACTATTTCTAGGTTATTTAGCTATTATTTCACTACACGTTTGCTTGAGAAAAATACAGTGTCCAGAAAAATGATATATAGTGGCAAAATGCAGCATAAACAGAAATCAAAGGACTGTAGGCTGATAGGCATAAAAATATACATGCAACTGCTTTGTCTAAAGATATCTACTAACGACAACTGAAGGATAATAAATAGATAAATATATTTATTATATGCTTACCAAGACGAGCTATGTAAATAGAGTTAAACTATTCATTTGGTCATTGTTAATAAACACAAGTAAACATCCAGCTGTTGACATTGTTTTATAGCGATCAAATACGACGCATTTCGATATGAAGACTGATATTAACGATATTCCTTTATGAATTTATCCATAACCTTTCGTCATAATGCAAAACTATTGCAAGGAAAGCAAAGTGAATCATACCAGACGGCAAATATAAACAATAAAATCTTACCTCCAAGGAGATCATCCACACTGGACTTAGTAGATGACATTGTTGTAGTCCTCTGTAATAGAAATAAAGCTTATTATTGCACTTGGAATCCACAAGAATTATAAAATCATGCAATTTTTAACTATTTACGCGGAATTTTTATCTTACCTGCTCTCAATCCTTGGTTTGCGTATGTACGTGACTTGACAGGACAGGAGTCAACAACCAGTAATTTCGTCTTTGTCTTGTGTTGACGTCAGTGATCACGTGATTGCTTATCTTCGCGACGTTGCCGATCTTCCTGATTAGCCAGAAAGTCTAACACTAGGAGCATCTGTATCACAATAATATTGGACTTCACAGTTTCACAGCCATGTTGCCAAGTAGGATCTTGTAATTCTAAGAAAACAGATTCCATTTCCCTTTCGTTAATTCTTAAATATGATATGAAAATATCAAGGAATGGTCAATTTTCCTCATATTTATCTTAAACATTTCTTATTCTCAGAATCTCAACAACTTGGAACACCTTATTGCTTCCAAAACACCAGTACTGTACCTTGACTAACAAAAAGCGCCGTAGCGCTCATCTGAGTTCTATCAAACAGCCGACCATTTTCGGCTGATCGGAGTCCATGACTCGATAGATCGATGATAGATCATGCTAGGCTTTTGTTCAGGGTTAAGAACAACTTTTGTCCACATAATCTCCCCAGTGTCCGGCTGAGCGGTGTCTCTTCTCTAATGGACACTCTGGAATTGTCGGCGATTTGGCCTTTCTAAAGCTGTCAACGGGACGAGTCTGTCCGGTACGACCGCTCCTTTATCCCTAGGGTGTCGAGATGGTGATGCATTCTACCTAATGAGACATTGTCCAGTTCTAACAAAGTGTCTTTACGCTTCCTATAGCAGCTGCGGTGCTCCCGTATTTAGGCTTTTGCCCACGTCGAAATATTTATAGGTAGAAAATAGTACCTATTTTGAGGAGAAAATTTTGACGACAAGCGGTAATAATATGAGCGACAATTTACATGAAAGTATTATTATTTAATTTCCATGGTAATTTTGTAGAAGCAATCTGACAACGCCGCAGTTGTTAGACTGTGGGAGAGCAGCATGGGTGTTTCATAAGCTGAAAAACGCGGTTAATTTCAAATTTCGAATGTTGTTATTGAAAAATCTTTGTCAATTCCAATAAAACTATTAAATATCGATTATGCTAGAGCCTCCAGTATTAAAAATTAGTATTAGGTGAGAGTGGCTGGTTTCTATTGTTCTGCATAGTGCGCTTCTTATTTCTCAGGAATCGCTATAATTACGCATCCAAGCTGTACAGGGAGCTTCCAAAAGGCATAACCGGTTCTAAAAAGAGCGTGTACTTGGGCACGTAAACTGACAGGGCGTGTTGTTAGATGCCCTTTTTGACAATTGTACTATGAAGTCGTTTTACACACATCATATTGATGTCTCTAGGTGAATCAGTTTCAGACGTAAAATAGCGTTTGACCAAACTCAAAAATAAATAAATAGAGTTTCCATAGGTTATATAGATATCATACTCTCAAGTCAGAACTAGGAGCCAGGTCCTATATGTCTTGGAATCTGGGGATTTTGTACCTACCTATTAAAGAAGGATTAGTCAGTATCTCTGGAAAATAAGGAGAATGGATATGATTTGATGATGTACAATATATCGCAGCACTTCCTTGATACAGACTGTGAGAACGACTGTTAAAAAATTTGGAAATTTCATTACATATGTGCAATATATTTATAATTTTCAATTCTCTCCAATACACTAGCCCTGTTACAGTAGCAAAATATCATCTCATATTTAAATTAAAAATCGTACAGCTAAGGATGTGACTAAATTTTTCATATTTACAGGCAGGGCAGCAACACGCATTTAGGGTGAATGACCTGTAAAAAGTTGCGTGTTACGGCACTGGTAGAAATGGGTGTTTTGTGGTAGAAATGCCAGTGATGGAGCATGGCCGACGTTTATCATGGTCGGCGTCGATAGGCAGAAATTTTGTTCACTGTTGCCGGACTTACAAATCAAATTGACCTACTGCTTGACTTAAAGATGGTATGGATGTTACAAAATATAAAACTTGGACATTGCTCCGGATTGAAAGAGCGGAAATCCGAAGTGGAAAAACTCCTAACAGCCCTTCTGAAAGCGAGCAAAAATACCTTTGTCGTAACTTTTATCTATCCTACCACGTTTTGCAGGATCGCTTAAGTGCGAGTCAGCACAGCCTCGCACAGGCTTTAGCTAAGCCATCTTAATAAAAAAAAATTCAAGATCCTATCGGAAGCTTCATGATGTACAAAAATGTGCTTTCTCATATTAATTACACGTAACTTTCTGAATGCTGTTATAACTTAATCCTGGTGATATATCTGAAAGACACATCACATAAAATATGTTTGTATAGCTTATACAGGGTGGGCCATCTATCGGTTTCGATTTGAACCACGTGTTAATTTGACGCTGACAATACTTATGTCAATCTGATTTGTCATAAAATTCAGTATATTATCTCCGCTGAACGAAATGAATCGATTTACGCTTGAGCAACGTTGGGTAATATTGGAAATTTATTTCCAAAACAAAGACAATTGGGCAGAAATTGCACGAAAATGCCGTTCAAAATTCGGTCGCAACGAAGCACCAACAGCGCCCGGTATACGCAAGTTTATTAATAAAGTGCGTGAAACTGGTTTCATTGTTGATGCTCCAACACGTCAGCGTGCTCGTACAGTGCGTACACCCGAAGGTATCGATGCTGTGGCTGCGAGTGTGCGTGAAAATCCATCAACGTCAACACGTCATCGTTCCCAAGAATTGAACATTTCCCGCACCAGTTTACGACGAATTTTGCGGAAAGATCTCGGTATGGCGCCTTACAAAGTTCAATTGGTTCAAGAGTTGAAGCCGCGTGACCATCCACTTCGTTCTGCCTTCCCTACATGGGCCAACGAGCAACTAATCAATGATGTCGATTTTGCGAAAAAAATAATCTTTTCAGACGAAGCTCATTTTCATATTGGTGGCTACGTCAATAAGCAAAATTGCCGTATCTGGGGCTCGGAAAACCCACACGAGGTCTTAGAGAAGCCAATGCATCCCTTGCGAGTGACTGTTTGGTGTGGATTGTGGAGCGGAGGCATCATTGGCCCATATTTCTTTGAAGACGGGGACGGCGCAACCGTTTCTGTCAATGGAAACACCTATCGCACCATGATAACTGATTTTTTTGTTCCTGCTCTTGATGGTATTGATGTGGAGAATGTTTGGTTTCAGCAGGATGGTGCAACTTGTCACACATCGCATGCCACAATCAACTTATTGCGCGAAACCTTCGATGGCCGTTTAATCAGTCGAAATGGTGATGTCAATTGGCCGCCAAGAAGCTGCGATTTGACACCATTGGACTATTTCCTGTGGGGCGCTGTTAAAGACAAGTGTTATGTCGACCATCCAGAGACAATTGACCATTTGAAGGCCAACATTCGTGATGCCATTGACGAGATACGGCCCCAAACACTCGAAAAAGTGCTCGAAAATTGGTCCGATCGAATGGGCTACTGTGAGGCCAGCCGCGGCAGCCATTTGAATGAAGTAATATTTCATTTCTGAGCGGAACAATTGTACTTCAAAACAAAAAATAAATTTGGCAATATCTCAAACCGTTTTTGTTTTATTTTATTTTTAAATCGAAACTTTTAAATGGCCCACCCATTATAACTTCTTTATCTTATTGTCAGAATGTGTCAGATGGTTGAGTAATATTTTCAGGTATAAATTTGTCAACATGACAACATGGCCCAGCCTCACTGGCATAGCAGCGCCCTCCATCACAGTCCTTGTTGAAGTTGACAGTTGTCGTAGCTGAAAATATGGCTGTAAAATAACCAATGTCCCTTTGTTTGACCCGCAATGTTTTTCTACGAAAAGCACAAGAAAGTTACGTAAAGGAAAATAAATAGTGCAAAACCAGGTTAGACTAAGATGAAATTCAGTTAAAACAGTTCAATGTTAGGATTGTGCAGAGTTCGATTTGTTAGAGGGTTAGTGGTCATTGATAGGTTTGTAGGGGCATTAGCCACTGAAAATCACAACACAGGTTTAATAATCAGAATTAACCATTTATATTGAATATCTTTTAGAGTGAACAGTAAGGTATGACTTTTATAAAAATGTAGATTTGAGCTTTCTTTTCCTGAAGGTGTATGAACTAAATTGCCCATTGAATGTGCATTGTTGGTATTCTTCAAACCAATTTACCATTTCTCATTATCAGGGTAGTACTACACTAGCATAGAGGATAGTGGCTCAACACCAGACCCCCATTTTGTTATTGTCTAAATTGATATGAAAAATAGCTAAAGGTATGTTTTAAAATCAATCAATGTTTACTTTGCTATGTATCTATGTGATTGATAATTATTATTAAAAAAGTAATTTCCAAACATCTTTCATACCTCTAATTTAAAAATTAGGTGCTAAAAATGGCCTTATTTTATTATTGCAATTCAAAAAAAATGTATAGGTATAAAGATAACACTTTTTCTAAATTAAAAATGTATAATGCTTAGTGAACAAGCTACACATGATGGAATCTGCTAGTGTGTTTCATTATGGCGTCGTAGACGCCTGTACTATTATTTACACTTGGCAATAATAGCATATCTGAGAGTCAATAAGGGAAGAAGTTTGTCTTAGGGCACTTTCTCTACTATTATTTTGATACAAACTTTGCATGTTTTCTCTTCAATGTATTTGTTTGTTTTGTGATATTCCTCAGACAGATCTGTAGTTAACCACAATAGTACTTGAATATTCTGGTACATACTTTGCATATCATCTTCCCAATGTACTCTCATTTTTACACTTTGGCATTGGTTCACTATTCTTGCCTCAATATTTTATACTTGTATTAGTCAATTAACTACTATTGTACTTGACTTAGAACCCTATTCCACAAGCTAGTAATATTATTTCGCTATTGCATTACTTTCATGATGACCAGAAACTTTAAGGGATGGGTGTTTTCATATCTTAAAAATATGTTCATATATTTTCAAGAATAATTTTCAGTTACGTATAGAATCTAGCTATGTTTATATTATATATCAGAAACTCTACACATCATCTATATACAGTAATGGACAAAAGTATATAGACAAATATGAATATTTACCTAAATACCTCTAGAAAACGAATTCATACTTCATTGCTCCATAAACAAATGCGTTATTAGTAGATAAACTAAATTCCTTGTTTTTACATTATCTGCAATGAACACAATACAAGTCTGAATATAAGCACTTTTTATGAGGGACAAAAATATGTAGACAAATTCTTTTCAACATTAATTTAGTACAGTTTCGTGTCAGAAGAGGATTAGTTTGTGTTCATCAAGTATTGTGGAATACGTTGAGTGATTTTAAGACCATGCCGTGTGGTCCAGAAATTTCTTTCAATGTGAAAACTAAGATGGTCAGCATCAAGTAGACATTGGCAAAAAATTGAAGCTGAAGAGTAATGCAATATTGAACAAATATAAACAAAAAGGTATCTTGGAAGCCTCTAAGAGAAGTGTTAGGCCTAGAAAACTAAATGGTAGATCAGTTAGATTAATAAAAGTAATTTCGACCAAAGATCTGTTTAAAACCCAAGTACAAATAAAAGCTGAAATCGAGACAAAAGGAATTGTCAGTGTTTCTACGAAAACTATAAGTAAAAGATTAAATGATTTGAAGTTATTTCACGTCGCCCAAGTAAGAAGCCGCTAATCTCGAGGAAAAACCGTAATGACCGCTTACAATTTGCATGGTTGCATCTTGATTGGAGCCTCTGTGACTGGAAGAGGGTCTGTTTCAGTGACGAATCCAAGTTCAATATGTTTGCATCAGATGGTGTTCATTATGTTAGACGTCCTAGTGGACAAAGATTGAACCCCAAATACACTTTGCCCACTGTGTATTAATAAAACAAGTTAAAAAAGAAATACGGCACAATATTAATTTGTCTATATACTTTTGTCCATTACTGTATGTTTTCTATAGTTTGAATTTCATTCGAAATAATTATTTTAGTTTCAGGGCACCTTTTATCATGACAAGATATTAGCTAGCCTGACTAAGCCAAAACAAGATTAATGTGGCAAAATCAAGTTTTGGATCCTTTGCACAAAACGAATCATAAATATACTTCTACTTGAAGTGATAGATAATGTATTGAGCACAAAGTATAGAAGCATTTTTTCTTGACCAAGTAAACATTGGTGAGTAACTCCTGCTTTATTATATTGTTATTCTTTGTCTTTGTTAAGATCTTTTTTACAAAAACGAAGGATGTAGCTAAATATTAGCTATTTTTCTAAAATTTTTGTAGGTCATTTTATTAATCAAGCATAAAAAATCTTGGAGCTTGAACTGTTGATTGAATCTTAGCAATATTATGCGATTTTTGTATCTGTCATTTTAACATTTGGTGCATTATACACTAAAACAGAGGAGTGGTAGTTTGGAAGTATGCTTATTAGAGATGCAGCAAGTGCTACTTCTTTCAAAAAGCTGAGTACCAGGTTTGATACTGCAGAGTGCTATCTTATTTCAGCTAATATCAGTGAGATTAAGATTATGTTTCAGGTTTAGCAGGTTCTTGATGAACAAATTGACTTTACCTTCTCAAGAAATTAATATACCACAAAAGCAGGGCATCTTGGATGATATTTTGCGAGTAAAAACATAGTAGCGTGTATTTACAGTATTCTCTGAAATTTTATGTTTCAAGTATTATGTTGTTCAGCTGTTTGTTTGAAATTGGGGGTAATGGAATTGATTGATTCATTACGACGAACCTAGTTTCTTTTCACTCTAGCTCCTCGAAGTTGTCCATTTATTATTTCATCCGCATTAAAATTTTATTCGCGAAGTTGTGCTTCAGTTGTTATTGGACCAGCCCCTAAACCATCTCTTTAAGTTCTTCCCAGTACCAGAAATCCATCGGATTGAGGTCAGGAGATCTTGCTGGCCATTCTCGAGGATCAGGAGCATTTCGACTGATCCAGCGATTTCGATAATGTTCATTCAAATACTGAATGACGCCTTTAAAAATGTGTGGTGGTGCCCCGTCATGAAGAAACCACAAATTCTGTCTCCGTTGTAATGGTATGTTGTCTAATGTCTGTTCCAAAAGTTCTGGTAGGTTATTGGCTAGAAAGCTAAGGTATCCTTCTCGTGACAACTTTGGGGGTAACTCGAAAGGGCCAATTACCTGATCGTCAAGAATACCCGCCTAAATATTTATTTTAAAACGTTGGAAATGACCTTCACGGATGGTATCAGGATTTTCTTGGGCCCACTTGTGGGTATAATAGAAATTTAATATCCCGTCTCGCGTAAAAGTACATTCGTCCGTCGCTAGAATGTTTTTAAAAAATCCGGATTTTCAATGTTTTTGTGCAAAAACCACTAACAGAATGTTAGTCTGCAAGGATAGTCTGGTGAAATCTGTCGCGATACATTTGAGCTGCAAGATTTGAATTCTGACAAGCTTCACCGTAAACTAACAACCTGTCGGCGAACTCTTCATTCGAGAATATTGTAAATCAACACGACGACGTACGCGAACAAAAACAAAACAACACGTCCGATGCATATGACAAAAATAACTACCATAACGTTTAAGGTTATGAAAGTGTCCAGTAAATAATTGCTCACTTCTCAAACTAGGTATGTAATATACTATTCTTTGTTACAGACGTTCCATCGATTGTCTGTGGAAGCCTCTCAAACTAAAGATCCTTCTCACCAATGGTAGACCAAAAAACCATTGGTGACCCAGCAATGCCCTAGAAATGTCTAGTGCTGTAGTTGTGAATTCTATGAAAATGCCTATGTCACGAACACAACTCTTCCCAGTCTCTTCCCACTACATCCAGGAAGGGGGAGGCCTGCCACCACTGAACAAGAATCCCCTGAAGGAACAAAGCCCACCAGCGGCATCCACTGCTTCTTCAGCTAATTCTGCAGGTTTGCCCGAGTTATCAGTTACTGTTGGGAGCTCCTGTGCATTGCAATGTATCAGCAGAGGCTCCACCTTGACCCAAGTTAAGGCTTCCTCTGCAACTACCATGGCCACAGAATGCAAACCAAAAACTATTGTAGCTACACCAGAACAGGTAATCCATACATTCTAACTAAAGGGGAGGTATACTAAGTAGGGATCCGATGCTGATATACATGTACTGTTTGTTCCAGGTGATGAAGCTTTATATGAACAAACTGACCCCATACGAACACCACGAGATATTCAACTATCCACAGATATATTTCATTGGTGCCAACGCCAAAAAAAGACCAGGAATCATAGGCAACGCTAATAACTGTGATTATGACAATGACCAGGGCTCTTACATACACATTATGCATGACCATGTAGCATACCGTTACGAAGTACTGAAGGTCATAGGTAAAGGGTCTTTCGGGCAAGTTGTCAAGGCCTACGACCACAAAAACCACATGCATGTCGCACTGAAAATGGTGCGGAACGAAAAACGATTCCACAGACAAGCCCAAGAGGAAGTACGCATTTTAGAGCATTTACGAAAACAAGACAGGGACAACACGATGAACATAATCCATATGTTGGATTCCTTCACGTTCCGGAATCATATGTGCATTACTTTCGAGTTGTTGTCTATAAATTTATACGAATTGATAAAGAAGAACAAGTTCCAAGGATTTAGCTTGCAACTTGTGAGGAAGTTCAGTCATTCTTTACTTCAGTGCTTAGATGCCCTTAATAAAAACAAAATAATTCATTGTGATATGAAACCTGAAAACGTATTACTTAAGCAGCAGGGAAGAAGGGGTTTAAAGGTGAGGATCTGTTCCTTCACAATTTTAATTTAGATATATGAAATACTTCATAATAATGTTAATATTTGTTTCCAAAACTTTGTCCGCTACTGTACGTGTTCGTAGCTAACTTTTTTTTAAAAGTGTCAAACAGGTACAGAGTCAAATTACTTGACATCAATTTTCATTTTTTTTTTGCTATAATATGATTTTTTTGCATCCGCCAATTTTTTTCTGTCGTCTCTATAGGCATTCTTTGTGTCCTCAGAAGTTGGACATTAACCGATAAAGATCTTTTCTCCGTGAGAAGACAGCTTAATCGATAACAAAATTGCATGGCACACTGACCTTCTAGCACATTAGTCACTTATTATTTATGGCGTGTTTTTGATTGCAGGTTATTGATTTTGGTTCCTCATGTTACGAGCAGAACCGTGTATATACTTACATCCAATCCAGATTCTATCGCGCGCCAGAGGTGATATTGGGTGCTCGATATGGCATGCCAATAGATATGTGGTCATTAGGATGCATTTTAGCAGAGCTTCTGACAGGGTTTCCTCTGTTGCCTGGTGAGGACGAAGCTGATCAATTAGCTTGTATCATAGAACTATTAGGATTACCGCCGCAGAAGTTATTGGACCAATCAAAGCGAGCCAAAAATTTCATTAGCTCCAAAGGTGAGAACTATTCGTGCTTTCCAATCACTAGATTTCTGTTTACAGTTAGTTCATTGAATAATGCCAAATTAATAACCAAACCAGACACCATTGTATTGTCTTACATCGCTGTTTTAGAGAAATAAACAGTTATTTACCGATGCAATAAGACGACATTGTTAATAGTATCGAACTTAACCGCGTTAGTTAACAAAAAAAGAATTTCGAATGATTTACAATACAAAAAAATTAACGCTGAGGATTGACTTTGATACTAATTGACTTGAGCTTCAAATAAAAATTAGGTTAACGTTTACGTATGCCGCAATGTTATATCCCGTTACTATCTACAAGAAGGCTGTTCCAATTATTTTTCTACTAATAAACTAAAGATCAACATCGATAAAACAAAATATCTAATTTTTGAACAAATAAATATAATAATCCAAAACTTTTGTATAAGAATAATGTTGTAGTAGGAAAAGTATCAAGCATCAAATACCTGGGTTTAATTATCGATGAGAATTTGAATCGGTCTAGTCACATTAAATTTTGTTTGTACAAGTATTGTTGTCGAGGCTAGTGTTTAAACATAGATTCGAAAAGTCTGTCTTCTATCAAATTTGTAAAAATAGACTTTTGAATAAAGATTTGTTTTAAAAAAACAGAACGACTTACTGTTGCAAACAATACAAAATTAACACAAAGGCGCACTTAAATAAACGTTAGGATGCGTTGAAGTATCGTTGGAAACAGTGCGTTAAGTCAATCACAAATATAGCATACTTAAACGTTAGCTTTATTTGATATTCATTGATTTAAGCATCAAACAAGGTTAACCTTTACTTAAGCCTCAACTATCTACAAGAAAGTTGTTCCAAATATTTTTTATACCCTCGATAAAGTGTAAACAAATGAATACAGAACTTACCAAACCCTAAGCAAGCCTTGTCGTGTCTCCAAATGTATCCAATAGGTAACATAACACCACAGAATCACTGTAAATCGGCACACTACACGATCAAACATCACACTCGAAACCGCAGATGTTTCTTTGTTTGTACCCGACGCGCGCGACGTGCTGCCTCGGCGAGATCCAAACGTCGACTGAACAGCAGCAGCGCGTGTTGCGCCGGCCGACCGTACCTGAACGCTCTCGATTACGTCACAGTCACATGTCCGTTTCTCTCTGCCAATCGTAGCTTAGGCGGAAAGTGGGGTGTAGGGTGGGCGGAGCTACGCCACCGCTGGCGTTCAACGGCGATCCACTGAAATATAGCATCGATATCTAATAGGATACGCTGTAAGAAGCACGACCTGCGCTTCATACACCTTCCACGCGAGCGGACGGCCGGCGTACCACGCACTGCTGGTGTTCAGTCGATCTCTGGATCTCGCGGAGGCATCACGTCGCGCGCGTCGTGTACAAACAAAGAAACACTGCGGTTTCGAATGTGATGTTAGATTGTTTGATCGTGTAGTGTGCCGATTTTCAGTGATTCTGTGGTGTTATGTTACCTATTGGATACATTTGGAGACACGACAAGCCTTGCTTACGGTTTGGTAAGTTCTGAATTCATTTGTTAACACTTTAGTGAGGGTGTAAAAAATAATTGGAACAACTTTCTTGTAGATAGTAGAGGCTTACGTAAACGTTAACCTTGTTTGATGCTTAAGTCAATGAATATCAAATAAAGCTAACGTTTACGTATGCTATATTTGTGATTGACTTAACTCACTGCTTACAACGATACTTCAACGCATCCTCACGTTTATTTAAGGGCTCCTTTGTGTTGTTTGCAATAGTAAGTCGATTTTTTTTTGAAACAAATCAGTCAATTTTTACAAATTTCATAGAAGACAGAGTTTTCTAATCTGTGTTTAAACACTAGCCTCGACAACAATATTTGAAGTGCGAATTTTAGCTACGATAAATTTAACAATTCAAGTGACTTTTGAATGTCTTTATATAATTTCTGAATACATGTACATTTTTTACGTTCTTTGGTAGGTTATTATAATTTTTACTGCATCAGTGACTGGGTTATTTAATCCTATATTGGTTCTCGCACAAATTATTATGTTATCTTGTTTCATGGTAATGTACATCATGTGTGAACAGAATGTTTGATTACATTTTGTTGGTCATTTTAAATTTTGAAAATCCGCGATTCCGCTCGCTTGGAAAGTCACCTCTACACATCAACAGGTGCGTTTGTAGATGTGTCAGCAGCCGTCGTCGGAGGCATCAGCAGATGAATCACACGTCTGCTGGTCGTCATTCTGTGTTAATTCGCAAACCAGGGGTATTTTCACTTAATATGATTAGACTAACCAGAGCGACAAAAAAATATACTCTCAGGACATATAGAATGGAACAAAAAACATCCACTAACGTTAATAAAATCTTCGTTCTAACCCGAAATATTCCTCAGGTATTCCTCGGTACTGCACTTGCTCAACGTTATCAGATGGTACGATGGTACTGAGCGGAGGCCTAAGCAGGCGTGGCAAGCCAAGAGGGCCTCCAGGCTCGAAAGATTTGAAAACTGCACTGAAAGGATGTGACGATCCGTTGTTCCTAGATTTTGTACAGCGATGCTTGGAATGGGATCCTGACGTCAGGCTGCCTCCCAGTGCGGCCCTTAGACATCCGTGGCTCAGGAGAAGGTAAGGGACATGTTACAATGTATTTTTCTAGACAAATTTGAAAATATGGTCATCAGTTAATAAAGGATTGTTGTTCGGCACACGATATCCCCTCTGAAGAAAAACTTGATGGAACAGGATATATTTATCAGCCATATAAAGTAATGATAGCTATCACTTAAGTAGCTTAAACAGTATTCCAGTGTTTGAACAAGAAACGAAACATGAACAAAGACAATCACATGTTAAAAAAATCATGTGAGTGACAACATATACATGAAAATACTTACATTTTTTGACTAGCATATTTTTTAAGATTGTCTTAAATGTTTTTTTTAAAACAAATCTTTATTCAATATTTATATAGGAAACAAAGTTCTCTAATCTGTGTTTGAAACACTGGCCTCGAGAACAACAATACTTAAAGTGCGAATTTTAGCTAGAATAAATTCAACAATTCAAGTGTCTACATAATTTCTGAATACTTGTACCTTTTTTTACATTATTTGGTAGGTTGTTATACGTTTTTATTGCATCAGTGACAGGGTTATTTAATCCTATATTGGTTCTAGTAGGAATGTGGTACAAATTATTATGAGATCTTGTCTCATGATTATGCACCTCATGTGTGATCAAAATGTTTGTATTACACTTTTGTTGGTTGCATAAAATTTTGAAGATCATTTTACATTGTTCTTAATTCCAACAGCTTATCTAGTTCACAAACATTCAATTCTGAGTACATTTTGTCCATGCTGGCAAGTCTATCATAGTTGAACAAAATTCTTAATATTCTATATATTTTGCAAAACTTGTGCTTTATGAAATTCAGTTTTACAACACATTACCCAAATAGGTAGCATATATCTAAAGTGTGCTAAGAAAAATGCATTATAAATATTTATTTTTCACTAGATAACCACTCACTAGTTGTTTCACCAATTTTCACATATTGTTTCCTGTTAAGTAAATAAGTGTTAATCAAATTATACACAGTACCCCTAAATCCCATATTTTGTAACTTATACTGTTTGAACAAGATACTGAAGCCGCTTATAATCTATCGATCTTATTTCATAATTTACCTTTGGTTTGCGAATTTTGATGCTATCTTTAATATTCACTAACGGTAGCTTATGGTCCGACAGGGCATGTAACACTTATATTATAATTCAGAATCTTCCAACAGGTTTATGTTCATATCTCCTATTATTATATGATTTCTTGGATGTTTAAGGAGGATGGACTCCAGATACAGAAAAAAATCCTTATTGTTGTACGATGGTGGTTTGTCCTGTTGAGTGCTTGTATTTGATTTTTAGGTTGCCGCGACCTCCAAACGAAAAAGAACAAACCAGTGCCAGCATCCAAAGACCAAGCCCGACCGGACCTCGTACTCCGAAGTCCAGCGGCGCTACTAGCGGGGGTGCGGGTCCGGTCGCCCCAATTTTCGCCAATCGTGTTCTACTGACAGATGACAGATCCTCGACGCTGCACGGGAAATTGCCGCCTGTCACGTAGCCAACATCCTATTCACTTCCTTAGAGTATTGGCCAGAACAGGTTCAGACATACCTAGCATATTCATATCCGGTATATGTGTTACGTGTATATATATACATATACGCACACGTCCCAGCCAGATCCGAGGCTTTCGTATGCGTTGAAGTAGATTTGATGTGAGATGTCGGTATGAAGGTACAAATTTTTTATACATAGCGTTGAGGTGGACTTTTATGAAATTTTCTCGGTGGAAATTATGTGAATTGCGATGTTTCGGTAACTATAGAAAAATTGCTTATTAGGGCTACTATTTGATTCGGTAAAGATGTCGTTTGTATGTTCGTAATATTGATCTAGCTCCTCCTTTTCCTATTTAGTAATCAAGTGAATGGTATTTCAATGTAGAAAGAAACATTTCACATGAGTTTCCTTAAGGAATCTATCCAATTATCTCAAGGATAGATGAGGGCAGAAACAGAAAAATAAGAGATTGCTTTTGATATAGTTTAGACAGGTTTTTTTTTCGTATTCAAGACGTTATCTTTTATACGGAATACTTTTCATTTGATTATGAGATACGTTAAGGTAGACCCAAATAAATAAGGCATTTAAACTTGATCCTAAAATGTAGACCAATTTTACGATAGGATCGAATTTAGGGTTGGAATGTGACAGTTGTAATTGTTTTGCTGACCCTTGTTGATTGCATAATCTAGATATTTTAATCTAGTCCTAAAGACACAAAGCCACTGCCAATTATTTATTTAGATGCATGTTTTTCTAGGTTTGATCTCTTTTACTAGAAAAATAACTGGACATTTGGAAATCATTCCATAGTTTGACGTTAGTTTGAAGTGTTGGCATTATTTAAATAGGTACCAAACAGTGTTTATAGGCAGGAATATTCGCATTTACGGAACATCACGTTTTATTTTTTTGTCATAATTTATAATGGTCCATATATCAACCTTTCTCGCATTTTATTCATGTATGCAAGCAACATTCAAATACGTACCACTTACTGTTTTGATGGTAGTAAAATTTGAAATTTCAAAGAGTATGTCTGTCTGTTCATCAATTGAAATGCTGTGTGTTTCACTACGTGTAATCACAAAATGTGTATGTCGTTTTGTATCAAGAACCAGTCTTCTCATTTGTTTTCTACAATCACGTGTGTAGGAAATGGTGATAGTTCGTTATTGTGATGATTTTCCTCTATGCTTACTTAGTTATCTCAATCTCATATAGCGTAGACTGCTAAAATATTTTTTTCCTAACATAGTTCTGTTAAATTCGAAATTGCGAGGCCTATTTCAAAAATCTTTGTGGAAAGATTATATTTTTTATGAAAGTACAAGGTTGATATTCAATACATTTTCCTCTTTGCCTCTGATCTTATTGATACATCATCCACAATTCTACTTCTGTTAGTGACATCCTACCTACTTGTCTCCATTTTTTGACCTAAGTACCTATTTAGTATGTAGATTACGTTCTGTCAGCCTCATACAGGCTGGATATGGCAAATAATCTCGAACACTTTGAGTCTAAAAGAAATTCCACCCAGGCACAGGCGGTGACCTTGAATGTGAACCTGACATTCAAGGTCAAGTCTATTTTTTAAATCGACCCTTATATTTTTGGCATCGGACATATATAGAGCGGACAGTTTTTCGTTTAGCTTGAAAAATTGACCGTCGGAGGTCATGGGCAAGGTCACATATAAGCCTCTAAAGCTATCTAAAAGAAATTCTGTCACTACTGGATCTTGAAAGTCACTGTCAAATCCAATGCTACCATCAGATAACGAGGGAAAAAATCCTAAGCGTTTACTTGGGTAGAATTTCTTTGTGATCCATTTATATTAGACCTTGACTATGACCTTCAAGGTTTAAAAGATGTGCTTGACTCTACAATGACTGAAGGTCAAAGTCAAGGTTAAATTCAAGGACACCATTAGATAGTCTATGCTTGGGCCAATTTTCTTTTGGAGAGATTATCTTACGAAAATTATTTATCGATTAGATGTTGGACCTTGACTATGACCTTCAAGGTTCAATTCTTTCAGAGGACAAGGACAGATTCAATCGTGAAATTTTCCGTTCTATCCATTCCCGGTTTCTGAAATGTAGGATCCCATTTAAAAAGATGTACTTGACTCAAAAATGACTGAAGGTCAAAGTCGAGGTTAAATTCAAGGACACCATCATCTTGAACCCAAGGTTAAATTTTTTTAGATGGCAAGGACACGTCCAATCGTGAAATTTTTCGTTCTATCCATTCCCGGTTTCTGAAATGTAGGATCCCATTTAAAAAGATATACTTGACTCAAAAATGACTGAAGGTCAAAGTCGAGGGTAAATTCAAGAACACCATCATACTATTTCTTTTGGAGAGGTTATCTTACGATTATTATTTATCGATTAGATGTTAGACCTTGACTGTGGCCTCCAAAGGACAAATTTTTGGAGGTCAAGGACCACCTAATGATGAGTATAAGAGGCATGAATGCCTTTGAGTCTGTATTATCAAATCATTTTTTTTTTATAAATGAAGTGACAAAAACGAAATCCACATTATCTTCAATATAACAAAATAGTGGCAATACAAAATATAAGCGTACGGTCGGATTTTAAACATTTGTATGCCACAAATTCACTTTTATAATTATCCAGTTTGGTATGTGAAAATTGAAATTTAATCTTTCCACTGTTAAAATGAATTCAAACTAATGCCTCATATACTTCATTATGTGATCTCTTCTTTATCAAATCATTATTAAAATTAACTAAACCTTTGGCTGCTGATGAGTTAATTTTTCAAAGTATAATACTTCTATGTACATAGTACATAGATTTGCGTATATATTTCTGCACTAGACAAGTTAGGACTGTTCAGAAGTTTATAATCGTATATGATCAATAATGCTGATTAATGTTGGAATATATATATGTATATATATACAATTGTCCGCATGTTGAGTGTACTATTTTTTGGGTTGCATTTGTACCCTGCACAGGCTGTCCTTTTTATTTTTTTATCGTATTTCATCATATTTATTAATCATGAATTATTTTTTAAAGACGTGCAATAGCAAATATAATGGGTGAATATTCTTGGGACTGTAGTTTCGGTATCAGATAAACTTCTAGATACTCCTGCAACTGACTTGAGTCGATTTCATAATTATTGTGAGCTCGACAGCATTTTTAACAAGTCATGAATTATCGGGATATCCATAATATCAGATACTTGACATCCACAGACAGTTCATTCTCCGATATACTTCAATGTCCAAAGATGTTCATTCTGCGATTATTTCCCTCAACATCGGGATAATATATTATGTATTGCAGTAATTTTTGGAATCTGGATAATGTTCACACCAACGTCACACTTCAAATGTCTAGCCAAGCTCTTCAGCCTATATACAGGGTGTCCTCAAAGTTGGCGTAGCGTCTACGTCGTCTACGAGATTCAGTACTTCTTCCTCAGTTCGCAGTGTCTAGGTCTCCCACTGTGTCCACCTCGATATTGCTCTAAATGACCCGTATCCTTGAGTCTCTGCACAAGGTAAACAAAATCTACCTCTGGGAAAACGATCTGCATCCGCTCGCGAAGCCTCGGTCGCATTTTGAAGGCACTCACCGTAAATTAACAGCATGTCGACTAGTTCGCTATTGGTGTATGAGGGTGCCATTTTTTTTTTATTTTTTGAACAATGCAGTGGTTTGTTGACCTACACTACCGGCGTCTAGGTTAGGTTGCATACTAGCGTAGTTACGTCGTAGTCGTACATCGTATAACTGTATGGGGAGTTGTCTCCAGTTGTCAACCACGAGTACTTTACGTGTATCCTTTGGACAAATGAGTAATCATCGTTCAATCGTCGACACGGGTTACATTGACCATGAAATTATTCGCAGGTATTTTCTCTTGGTTCGGATGGAAAGAAGGACATGTTTTTCGTATTAGACATTAAAGTATACATTTTTCGACCTTATGTTTGAAGAAGTAATTCCAATTCGTTGGAATAATATCACTTTGGTTTTTCATAAAATAATTTGAATGATTAATTCTGTTTTTGAATTATCATATCAGATAAAGATATTTTCAGTAACGTTTAGTGAACATTCTACCACTTTCTAGATATTACACAAAACGATCTAACTGAATCATCTTTTGTGATTTTCATTTAAACGTTAGTATTTTTACACATCTTTTTATGTTTTGTAGTTATGTGTTGTAGTTTTTATAATTTTTAATGTTATTTGCTCAATATTTTTGCACTCAATTTAAAATTTTATTTTTGCATTGTATTTCCATCCTGCACTAGTTCACACCATGATGGCATTTTATATTCCATGGAATTTATGAGCACATGTTTTACTGATGAAATAAAACATGGTTTGGAAGACTGTTATTTTTTATTGTGATGCACAACTCTGCTTTGACACACGTGTAGAATCAGAAGGTTGATTCACTTCTGAACTGTAAAATAAAACAGTAGAAATCAAGTTTTCTGAGTAATGTTGCAACGTAACATTGTTTCATTCAGGTGTTCCAGAATATCTGATCCATCTTCCGATTCATATACAGGGTGTTTTTTTTTAAAGGTAAAATATTCGAGTGGACGATCTTTGGTCCGTTTTCAGATCAGGTTGATCACATCTATGAATTTTTTTTTAAAAGTCGTCGCTTTTCTTTTACAATAAATTTTATCCGGTGCTCTGGTGGTATCTTGATTTCCCCTGTCGGCGATTTCATTATGAGCGAAAATTTGAGGACAGACCGAACATTTTGCGTGAAACTTACAGAAACAGTAAATATGGGACAGTAGGGAAGAAAGTCCGAACTTTTCGTTCATGATGAAATCGCCGACGGGGAGAATCAAGCTGGTACAAAAACACTGTATAAAATTCTTGTCAAACAAAACCCACGGGAAACTTTGAACACTGTTTTGTGAGGTTATTTTCATAGCCGAAAAATTTTTTATACGTGAAATACCACGAAGATCCAAGACCTAAATACCAGTGGCAACAGGTATGCATATGACATGCACACATTCTGATCCTCCTAGGAGATTTACGGTTAAGGTTGGATTTGACATTTAGGACGTTTTTTCGTGAAGTGAATCCAAGCCTCGTCCTCTTACGTACCTTACTTTCTAACAGTCTGTAGAACATACAGACTTTGTTTCATGCTTCTACCTATCATGCGATATATTGAAATATGGAGTGGACTGTGACAGGTATGTGGAATTCTGAGGCAGTAAACACAACGAGCATTGAGAGAGTATTCTTGTAAAGATGGCCTGCTTAACACTGTGTGACTCAGTTGACAAAAACCTAATTTGGATTTGAAGGTAGATACCCAACAATTCGTATATTATATTAATTTGATGATTTTATTTGCCTTTTGTCTACCTTCAAACCTGTTGTGTGATCGACCATTTAGAAGCAAAATCTACCTCTGTTTTGTCCAAAATTAGGTTTAGATACGTGGGTAATTGAGAAAGCATTGAATCCCATGTTTTTTGTGGAATGTTCTTTCACTTTTTTACTGTAGGGTGTAAGTTTTTAAACCCGTATTTTGGACAAAACTAGCCGATTTCATACATCAAGGTAGATGTTAGGGTCAATTTTTCTTGATGTACAAATCTCGATGTAAATTATGTGTAATTCAACTGATGCATACTGTGTCGCAAAATTACGTAAATCAATTTCAAAAGCTTTAATATTCCTTTCTCTCTATTTCATTTAGTTAATGTTAAAGTGATAAATAGATTTTACATTTTTGTACTTCGAATAACGAATTTAGTTTGAGACTCTGAATAAGCGCTTTCAAAATAAATTATTCAGATTATCAAGATTAAATTTGAAATGTATTTCTTGCGAGATTAGTCTTGTTTATAGGAGACATAGCTTATGCCTATATCCTTAGATTTTCAGATTTGTTGGCTTTCTAAAGTTCCGTGTGTAATGTTCAGATCTTGCAAGAAATACACTTTTATATATATGCTTGCCGATTTACTGTTATAAATAATTTCCTCGAATGGAATAGAGGAATTGTAGTTTAGGGATATGACTAAGTCAGGGAAACATTATGAACTCCGGAACGTATAAGCAAGTACTAAAATTAAAAAATAATCAACTTGAAATTGTCAGAGCTAAAAAAATCTCCTTGTGGGCCCTGATCCATTTGGAAAGTAGTCCAATTTTACCTTTATAGATATACGTGTATTTTAGCGAGCAATATGTGAAAAAATGATTCATAGGTTTCAAGAATTTCAGTTTCCTTTCTAATTCACTGTCTTCGGATTCATAATTTTTCTACTGACTGTGTACAGATAGTGCCTCTAGCAATCAAATGTTTACTTATAAGTTGCACTTGTTAAGTAGATTTAATCATATGTATGTATACATGTTTAAGAACTCGCCTATTTTTTGGCGGCGACTGGCACTGGTTCGTGGTTTTTGCCGTAAAATCACATCACTTTGATGTTGTAATTAAATAAAATACTTAGCTGATCACAGATTTTCCTTTGCTACTTAAGACATTGTGTGGAAATACAAACAATGAGCTAGACTGCCGTATGAAAGCCCTTCAGAGTAGTGGTAATCGAATAACGTAGGTTTCCCTCAATCACGTTTATTGGATACCCCTCAACATGAATCATGAAGTTACCCGAAGATAACGAGCCACAAATTTGCGTAAACAACTGTTTATGCCACAGCGTGTCATTGAAAATAACAATGCTTTAAAATAAACTAAGCCCAAAATACTTGCCGGAATCTTGCAGTGAAAGCTTTAAACTTTATTTTGGACACTTGGCAACCTCAAAGATAATACAGGGTGCGGCAGAGGATGGACGGTTTTAAAAAAATCATAAAGTAGTTCATTTTTACTAAAAAACAAATTTATTGATAGAATCAGGTTCACAAGGAAATAGCATGTGAGACAGTTAAGTGTGGAAAATCACTTCAGGCAGGTGGTGGCCGAAATCGTTGATGCAGTGCTGGAGGCGTTCTTGGAAGTTCGCTTTCGTAACTGTTGCCAATTTGTAGGGGTGAAAGCGGAGATCCATATGCAAAATTCGCCTTAGTGATCGTTCGGTAAGTGCAGCAGCATGTTTCCGTGCAGATCGAGTCGGACTGCGAAGAAAGTACCTGTCGAACGCGCTCAACATTTTCAGGAGTTCCAACTGTTCGCGGCGCTCCTGTTGGTCAGTGCAACACGCCTGCGAAGTGATTCAACCCAACGAAGAGATTGTGTTTCGAGAGGGAACAGCTCTATTTCGATGCATGTTGAAGTGGCGACGAAACTCACGCTGTACGACGATGACTGACTCATTATTTCGGACGAAACAATCATAGGCGAAAACGCGGTACTACCCATCCCAAAAACGTCCGTCCGCTCTGCCGCACCCTGTATATTTTTAAATCATTGAAAATGGCAATTTTTGGGGATTTTCAGACGCTAAATCGACTTTTGTTCAAAAACAGTGTTTTGTAATTGACTACATAAATTATTCCAACAAACGCGCGGCAGCCTCTTGATTCCTGATAAGGGCCGTTCAACAAATTTGATTATAAAAAAAAAAATTGAGTCGTAAATTTTCTCCAACGAAAGCGAGTTTTTATCTCGTCTATAGTGAGAGGGATTATAGGTATCATGTACATGCAGAATGTGTCTAATTGAAGTCAAAAACACTGGCGTGACACTTTTTTACAAGTTTCATACGACAGTCAAAATGTATCCGTGTGTTTATAACTTAGGCAAGTTTTGACTGAGACCCCTAGGTGTATCCTACAATATTGCTGTTGTACTTTCTCACTTGTTGCAGATGTTCGTAACATTTTGTCTAAATTCAGTCCGACGATTTGGTTAGTTCGGAAACCAATAAATCTCGGACTTTCATTTGGATAACTGATTTTTCTGGAAATACGGATCTTTCTCGGAAAGTACAAAGTTGAGATGTACACATTCTTATATAAAACTACCCTTATTTCATACGATAAAATCATGATTTCCATTTGCAAACATCGAGTTTTGGGTTTTTAGAACTTAATTTTCATTCTCATTTTTATCCGTTTGTATTATTTATCTAAACTCTACTCCCCTTCTATAAGAAACCTGTCATTTGCATTGCACAAACTCGCTTTTATTAATATGCAGTTTCGCCTACTTTTCGAGTAACCATCGCTGCAGTTCCTGTATGTCATAAATCTGCAATAAGTGAGATTTCGTTGGCATATTTTCAATCACCTCATATGTATGAGGCATCTTAAAATTATTTTTATTTGCTCAAATTATTGTCTCTCTGTTGTGGAATATATGTGCCTAAACATAAATATGGATTCAAGTAATCACTTAGAATTATCCCGAAATGGATGTTCCCGATTCTTCAATGGAGCTAAGACCGAATTTTCCGACGAGGAAGAAATCAATCATTCCAAAGACTCCGGTAATGCTTCGGCCTTAAAATTATCAGTTTTGGAATGTACAGGGTGTCTCAAAATAACGTTAATATCTCTTATGCATCTGGAACGGTATTTCTCAAAGTAGCCGATAATTCATCCCTGTGGTGCTTACTTACGTACCTATAATAATACAACAATATATACATCCAGCAGCGCTCCCTAATGGTCGATTCAAGGGCAGGGAAGATACTAGCGTCAGCAGAGGTTTATTTTCGGTACACGTAAGATGGGTTACGTAGACGTGCAGAGTGAACCTACTTGACGGAATTTTTTATAGCAATTTGTGCTCTCTTTCAGCTGGAGACTCGTGACGCCACTGCTTGTGGCGTTATTTTTGTGCTCATGCACCTGAGATATTGACATTTTATTCTGGTACACCCTGTAGAATATCCAAGTTCAACAATGCAGTATCTTTTCACGGCACATGTTAGTATTGTATCTCTTTTTACTTTTACTTAATTGATAGTACGTATATAATTGTTTGTGGGCTCATTTTTGTTTGTAAATATGCTATGAACTGCCCCAAACCAAAATGACTGCTGCAAAGGGCTTGATCTCCTTTATTATGTACACGTAAACCTCTGTTAATCGAACTTTCATTGATGAAAACTAATGGCAGTTTTCGAAAAACTTAACTGCTAAGATTAATTGAATAATTTTAGAAATGATGTGATTGTATGTAATGATTAAGTAATGTTTATATATCATAACAGATAGGATTTAAATAAAAGCTCTTTATTAATATCTGATCATTTTATTTTCACATTGAGTCCGCCTTATTGCATGGAAAATATCCAAAATAGGCCATTGTGTACAATGTTCTGACAATGAAAAAAAACACCCGGTAATAACGAATTAATTACAACAATTTTTTGATAATTTTACCTGTATTTCAACAGAACAATATGACTTTTGCAAATTTTAAAAAATATATTCCCATACTTTTTAAATTTGAACATTTAGCATGTTTTTGTATACAATTTTGGGGATTTCTGGGAGTTGCCCCCCCTTGAAAAAAATTGCTACCCCCCGCTCTTCAAAAAGTTTCTGTTGCAGGGACACTTCCTCAAAAATCTGTCGCCCCTTTGAGAAAAATTTATGCGGGTGGCAATAATCTCAATAATCAAAAATTAGATTTAATTTTGAGTTCATACTAATCAAAATTTGTCATTTAATTAGACCTAACAGAAAGCAACTAGTCTGTTTTTGGGGACATCTTTTCAGAACTGTTGCAAAAACAGCGTACCTATATTTCTTGTATTAGACCAGTGAACTAAGACCAAAAACGGAGGATTACTCCAGGAGGTACATTTTCCGCGTTTCGAGAATATGTATCACGAACATACAAGCTGTTGATAAAGTAATTGGCTAAACTTCAAGGGGAGGTCCCTTAATTCTAAGACAAAAGATTGTAAGCATAGGTCGGATATGTTTAATTTTCAATCTTTAGATCTTTTTCTGATTTTTTTACACCTAAGCAGTCAGGACATCGCGGCTGCTATGAGAATCCCAAAAAAAATTATTAATCCGATTTTTGAACTGCGTAAGGTTAGTAGAACTGGTAAGGTTTGTTTTTATAAATTTTTCCATAATCTCGATACCCTAGAGACAAAGGAGCATGTAGGTAAGTAGTGTATCTAAATCTAAATATCGATTGTTCCTTAAAATAACAATCATTTTCAGCCGAATTGTTGAAATCCATGAAATTTTCTCATGTACAGATGTAACATCCGTGTTACATCTTCAGGCTACTAAAAATGATTTTGAATTAATGTCCAAAATGCTAGATTATATTTTATTTTTCGTGTACGTGGTACTTTTGTATCTACTTACTAGCCTATAAGTGACCTAAAAAGTACCATTAAATAACTGTATTGTCAATATTCCCAATTATCACCTCGTACACCTGCTGACTAGGGATGGAACCAAATCTAGTTCACTGTAGCATTCGGTGAAGTACTCTTGTGCTACAATGTTGTTCCTTATAATACTCGTTTCATATTCGTTAGTCATTGAGTGTAATAGCAGTGATAATAGTCGTGATAGTACCGTGTTGTTTTCAAAGTACGCAAAATGGGGATCCGATTCAGACAGACAGCAGGAAAATAGCATTGGACATGCTGGACAATCATTATGGTCACAAAGGTATCAATACTTATATGTACAGGTGGTACAGAATGAACGTTATACGATTTGCATCATTATACAGGCAGTATTTCGGTGAAAGCATTTTGAAGTTCGTAAACCAAAGACTTCACATGTCCCCACAGGAACGGTGTATTGAGTCAATCTACCTGACGCCATTATTTTATCTTTTCAGGATAGAGGCAAACGTAGCAGAAAACAATAGCAAAGACCGCGTTTTCAGACAATACCCTGTCTACAGAAAAACGTCGGAAGGTTATGAAAAACCGGAGAAAGTACCAGGTGTTGGAGAGGTCATACAAGACAGATTCAACGTCAGGCCATATATGGGCTATGAACAAATACATCAAACGTCAAACTACAATCCTCCACAAAACCAAGAAACTTTCAATTCCTATACCCCTCCGCCCACGCAAAAGCCTCCCGTTAATCTATATACATCCCCTTACAACTCTTACAATCCCCCAACTCCAAAACCCAATGAAAACTTGGAAAAATACCCACCGTTCCCGCAAGATTCTTATGCTCAACCGCCAATGAAAGTCCAAGAGGGTAAATATGAGTCTGAGAAACATGAAACTCTTGGACCTCCGTTGTCGCCAGAAAAGGATTTTGGTCCACCCTCCTCTGATCAAGATTACGATGAACAGGATGCACCGGATGATGGAGCGACACAAGATATGAAAGATACAGGGAATGTCTATTATCCTCCAGATTTTGGTGGAGATCATGATGACGAACCAAAAGCGAATAATGGAGGTTAGTAAAATATTAATGTAACCCCTAAAACTTATCATCTTTTCAAGGTGATAATTCTCCATCTTTGTCTGCTAAATGAAACCACATACGAGGATGCTCTGAAAATTGATTCATATTTTAGATCTGTAGTAAAGAATTCCGAATATTTTTCCATCAAATTAGTAACGCTGGTTTCTAGTGTGTTTTCTTTTAGATTGACTAATTTGTCTGGAATCAAAAAACCAAACATATCATTCACTTCACGAAATCCTTCAGCACGTTCTTGCAATTCGTTACTCATTGAATCCAAAACTTCGTAGTAATTTATTCGATGTCTCAGTCCCCCCAGACACAAATCCTGGATTGCAGTCTCAACCGAAACAATCAGCACTTCCTGCCTTTACCGAACCCTCACGATTTTATTCATTTTCTAGACGCTGGTGACACAAAGCCGCATCCACCTCAAGGAGGTTCAGTAAAAGATGCCCCACCAAAACATCCTCCAAAAAGCATCGACGATGTCTATTATCCCGATTACAACGGAAACGATACACCAGTGGGTTCGAAGCCGCCAATGGACATGATGGATTTATCGCCTCCAGATAGTCCGAATGGTCAGTTCCAACCGCACCTCTACGACGACCACCATGTCTACGAAGAGGTCCCGCACACTTCCACAGAACCTGCTAAGAAGCGTGTTAGTAATGCTCACTACAGTTACTATTATCTTGGGAGAAAGTTGTGGTATATCCCGTTATACTTCAGCATATACTTCATAGCTTATGTGATGATCCTGATTATCAAAGCTGTAGCTAGGCATAAGATAAAGTATAAGCATGAATGGCTGAGTGCCCATTCGCGATCGTCTAGAAAACTAAGTACGGAAGGGTCGGATAGTATGAAGACTGTTGATGAAGTGCACAGGAACGTTACAGATGCCTTGGACAAACTGAATAAGAAGTATTTGAATTTTGCTATGTAGTTCGTTGAATAAAATTATAAAAACAAAAATGTGTTCACAAAATTTTTGAAGTCGCGGATAGACCGAGATTCCAACGCACATGCAGTGATGGGCGCATGTATAACCATTGTATTGTATTTTAAATAAATTAAGAACAAATGAACCGTAGTTCATCGATTTATTTGTTCTTGGACCATTAGTTGAAATAAAAGGACAATAAACGTAATAAATTTTTATTAGGGTGGGGAAAACAATAATAAACATGTGTATTGAAATAATAGGAATATTTTAAATTTTTCTATATTATCGGTTACAACAAATGCTATGTTCCACTACAAGTGCCTAAAAACTAAATACAGTCGATTAAAAATATACAAAAATATATTAGGTTTTATCAAATCAACTTACTGTATTCAGTATTAACCAGTGTTAAGTCACATCTACAATGTTTCATATAATACAATATGCACAGTACGTTTTTTATCACATTAGGTAATATTTGCCATTGATGGGTTAAACCACTTTAAAGACAAAAGCTGTGAAAGCACACCGCACAAGACAAACCGAAAAGGAGATACAAAAAATCAGGAGAAAATACAGTACGTTGGAATACATACAGCATATTTTCAACTAACATAACTGTAGTCCTTTTCTTTTGTATGGTGAAGGGTCGATCGTGATATGGGTGACTTAGTCAAGACAAGTTGAAAGCATAGCAGAAATCAAGACGGTTGAACATAGAACGATACAGAAATCACTCATATTCTATTTATAAGCATAAGGGGTTTTCAAGCCAAAATTTCATATGAAGCAAACTGAAAATGAGCTCCAAGACTGTTTGAAATCCATATTTTTACGATGTTGGGTTAATTTCTCTGAAGTTTTCTCGAAATATTATATTTTGAATTAATACCGTTGAAAAATGTCTATTATGGATCGCAGAACAGCCTCGGACAAGTTTTTACAAAACAAGAAAAATAAATATAAATAAGTGAAGAACATTATGTCCTAAAATAAATAAATACTCTATTATAATACGATGACAGGCTCTTATGCATTTATGACTTCTTATGACATCTTTCAAAACGAAGTTGGGGCTTCTTGGTTCGGAAATAGATAACATTATAAAATGCATTTTCGAAAAAGATCTAAAATTAAATATATTTTGTTCAGAGCTCTGTAGTTATTATGTCTAGCAACATGGCATCAGCTTAAGTTGTGAGACGCCTCACGTGTTACCTTTTATCTTAGAAATAAACAGACGTTTTATCGAGACTAATATAAAATTTTGAAAGCAACGCTAGAAGTCATAAATGAATATTCTGGTTTACTCAGTGCTTTTGATAAGGTGTCCCTATTTATTTTTTGAACGAGTCTAGTAAGCAGGCTGAAATTTGAAGTGGTGAATATAGTAATATTTTGAGAGTGGCACTTGAAATTCGAATGATAGCAGCTTGGACAGCTTATTACTCAACAAGCAATCCTCGAAACGCTGCATGTTATATGAATATATTTAAATTTTAAAAAATATATAGAACATGCCATTTAAGAAATTGTTAGTCAGTTATTTTTTTTTTCAATCAATAAACAAAAACGCCCAACTTTGACATACCGTACGTTTCCCATTTTAAAAGATCGTAAATAAAGTACAAGGATTTAAAAAATACCCACGACGGCGCTACTTTCACGGTAGAATACATCAGTTCTATCACCCTTGATTTCGGCTTGATAACTTGACCCGTTCAAAAAACAGGTAGAGGGATCTTTTCAAAGCTCTGTATAACAAACCATAGTAAATGAACAATACAACATAGCGAATAACTATGATAATTATGGAAAATTGCACTTGGCAAAAACGATATAATATTTTGGATCCAAAGCCTAGGTTTGTACATGGTTTCGATTCATGATGAGCATGTTATGCATTAGTCCTGAACGTGAAATTTTATATTACTTACCTTGTTGAGATAGTAAAATATCAGAGTAGTGAAATTTTAAAGATAACATCGGTAAATACCATTGAATACCTTATTAATCATTGAGAGTTCAGGTTACTTGATAAGCAATTCATCTTTGGACCGAAAATCCAATAGCTCGGAAATGAATAGCAACTATTACTACATAGCATACATTTTGTATTTATGATCAATTTGTTCATTTCAATGACGTATATATACAAAATAAATATCGAATATCAAAAACGGAGTGTAATGTGCGTTGCAACTTTATCGCGGCTCGCTCACTAGAAAAATGCTATTTGAACTATTTTCGGTTTAAAACTTCCTTGAAAATTGGGTGTTTGTAACATACATCCAAAGTTATTCAATTTTTCCCTGATTCCGAATAATATGATGCGTCTGTCAAAGTGATGAATAATAATATAAGGTCATTTTTTGTCTCCTGGAAAAATCAAAACCAATGCATCAGCAGACTCATAATTAATCTAGACCGGCCTCGACCGATGAATCCAAGTCGAAAAGGATCGAACAGCACTTGTGGATAATTCGTGCTAAACGTATTGATTAGCGTTTAGAAGGTGGTATCAAATGAGGAGGCAGCTGAGCGGGTAACTCATTACCGTCTAATTTGACATTTATCAAATGCATGGCTAAGGCGAATTCTTCTTCGTCCAGTAACCCGTCCTGGTCTACATCTGAAAGTTTCCATATTTTGCTCAGGACGGAGTTGGGAAGTCTTGATTTCACCATCTCGGATTTGGCAGCTGAAAGAAGAGAAACTGTTAGTCAGGCATATTCAATAAAAATGTTTATATTTATACGCGAGTGCAAAATTCAAGAGGAAGTTGGGGGGGGGGGGGCATATTGGTATTTAGGTAAATATTCATATTTGTCTATATACTTTTGTCCATTACTTCTCAAGCGTAAGCCAGATGGGAGTATAAACCCCCTAATGGGTGCCCATGTTTAAAGAGAAGGAAGTACATCTAAAATAATATTTCGTAAACTAGAACCTTGTGAGACACCCTCGTACATTAACCAGAAGATTGGCCAAGCGCCGAGGAAACATCGATCGCCATCTACCAGGCTACTAGAGGTGCTATCTGGAAAACGCGAGACGCTTCCAGAACTTGTCGATTCGTACGTAAATTCCCGCACAGAACGTCATAGTCCAGTCGACGTGGTTAAAGATCTGTCATAATTTGTCATAAATTAGACTATGAACAGTAAAAATGCAAGTTCAGTATAGCAAAATAAGAGCATTAGAAACTCTAGTCTATACAGATCCAAGTGATCCGTCAGACCCTGTATAGTATGATCAGTTTTATTTCCAACAGTAAGTGACATTTTTCATACGATCAGAGTCCGATTTGATTGTAATGTGACTATTGTAAACACGATTATCACAGAAGAGCTATAACAGTTCTCTGTCGACGTGTCTATTTAGTAATCGACTATTCTGCACATATCATGTATGATATGACCTGTAACTTTATGCTTTTAAGTACCAAACAAAACGTTAGTTAAGCGACAAGAGGCGTAACCGCTACCATCATTTTACCGAAGAATCATATAGAGGTACCAGTATATCGACGCAGTAGCCGTATTATGCAAAGTAGATTCACTCGGTGACTTCTGTCTTGGGACACTTTGCCCTTCAGAGCTCCCATCCGAACTTCGCGCATCCAGAACTAGCCGGTACGACCGCTCCTTGCTTCACAGGGTGTCAAATCGAGCTAGCAGAGATGTGGAACAACTCGTGACTCGGAATCAAGCCGTTTTTAACGGAAAAGCGATTTTAGACCTAACTACATTAGCATATATCATATATATGGCTACAGCGCCATCTGTTAGACACTAACCTTTTCAAAATTGGTTTCCACTAGTGTGAAGAGCGAAACATAGCTGTGACAAGTTCTCACAGATGACGCTACGGTATATCATTTTATCTCGGATAATTTTTTGGTCGCTGGAATGTAGTATTAGGTAGAATACGTTAATCAATGATATGACCTAACACGCTTAAACATAAATGAATCTCGAATATAGTATTGTGTATGTGTGTTAGTGTTATCACAGTTGGAACAACAGAGTGTAGATAACAAGGTTCTAAATCGCATTGTAGGCTTTTCATTGAATAATATACGGACAAAAATAACAAGTCATTGTATCCGCGAGGTAATTAGTGGTCACACTTTGCTAAAAATATTTGTTTTAAGCAAATCGGAAACACAGTGATAGACTGCTAATGATCTTTTATAGTTTAGCAGTTATGAGACTGACCTAGATACCGAAGCACTGGTACCAGATTACAGAACTTCGATAAAAGGCATACATTTGTAAAAAATGTCCATTTGGAGATAATACAAACTAGAAACAAAACAGTTCCGTAATATTTCTTTTGTCATTTTACTTCATCCATTGGCGAGAACGCATCGTAATTGCGAAAAAAATCAAAGAACCGCTAGGAATTTTATGAAATGTCTAACGATGTTATTATTATTAGGACGAAATCGTACATTACATAACTTGGTAGAGAAGTAGGTCATCAGTAATGAAACTCCCACCCAAAAAAAACGGAATTATTTTTTAAAAGCTATTTATTTTCAACTTTTTCGCAAAGTAACCTTATCTCCTTCAAAATACTGTCCACTACAACTAAAAGAAAATCCGACTTCACGTAAAAGTCCAGAAATTAGTAGCAGTTTTTTTTAACTTTCAGGGTGTTTATTTCTTAGTTCGGCGAGTGCCAAATTGTGTTCCCCCAAATTCCTTTATGCAAGTACATATCTACTTCCTGGCTAAACAAATAATTGTTTTTCATATACAGGGTGTCCGCAAAGTTGGGGTTTTCCTTTACACGACGTGTAGATCTTGAAAGCATAAGCAATTTTTCTTAGTACCATATACACCAATGTCTTAAGCGAACCGAGATAAAGGGCTCTGCAACATCAAAAATATCTGAATACCGTCCTGTAGCCGCGACATCACCGACTGGTACAAGGTCACTGGCTCAACCCGACGACAGAACTGGGTCGGGATCAGTATGCAACCTTCAACCGACGGTTACGGTCACGCGTGTAGAGGTAATCGCGTAGACGAGAATCCCTCAACAAGCACTAGAGACGTGGCTAGAGAAGTGCAAGTATCAAAAACTAAAGTGTGGCAAACGCTGCGTGAAGAGGGGCTGTATCCGTTTCACGTCCAACGTGTACAAGCCCTTCAACCTGACGATTTTCCAGCAAGAGTGCGGTTTTGTGAGTGGTTGTTGCATCAACATGACAATAATCCGGACTTTTTGAAGTGCATATTGGTCACAGACGAATCTACGTTCACGCGTAATGGGGTGAATAACTTTCTCAACACTCATGTTTGGTCAGTAGAAAATCCGCACGCTGTCCGTCGGGCACATTTTCAACAAACATTTTCGGTGAATGTTTGGGCTGGCAAATCGATTGGACGGGATGCAATACCTAGACTTTTTACGCAACATTTTGCCTTCCTTGTTAGAAGATGTGCCATTAAGTGTAAGACAATCAATGTGGTTTCTGCACAATGGTCATATTTGTTACCTCTGTTCGTGGTCTGCACCACCGCCGGCGTCTGATCAACCTTTTCGTTTCCATACCACCAAAATCTCAACTCAAAAGAGCACAACTATCAACAAGAAATCGGCTTCATGAAATAAACTGAGTCGTGACCGTAGGAACAATCTACGACCCTAGCTGGTTCACTTTTCACTCCCGGCTTAGGACAAGAGTCACGAAAGAGAGATCGAAAGCGTACCACGCTGTCATCTTTTTGCCCTGTGAAAACATAGCTTTAGATTTTCATGTCGTAACGATTGCCCTCGTGTTGAACATAATACATGGGATGTTCTTGATATGAATGCTTCCGCATTTCCGATTTGCCCAGTATTAGCCAATTGGCGACAGTAAATTGCTACATCTTGCAATTTGCAGTTGTTCACCAGACATACATAAAGTGTATGCAAACTGTATACAGGGTTTGTCCGGAAAGTAATAGGACTGAGTCGATTTAAAAAAAATTATTGAGCCAATCGTTACAATTCTTTCAAAACAGGCTCCTTCTGCGTCGATGCCTTTGATGTCAAAAAAGACAATGAGCATCAAACCACATGATTAAAATTCCTCTTTATTATACGAAGGTGACCTTTTTTGGACAATATATTTTAATTCATTTCCCTTCTCATTTACACGTAACCAAAAATTATTTAAAATGACAACCATTTTCAGAAAAATACAAATAAAGTCTGAATACTTTTTGCATCATTTTTCGACATGATCAAAAATTCACACCTTCAAGACCTAAGTTGCTCTGCTTGACAGCCAGATTTTATATCGTAAAATCGTTTTATTGACACTACAAGTTGTACACCGATGATTCATTTTATCAATAACTAAATTACGTTTATCTTCAAATCTATTTACACAAGTTAAGTATCTACATTTTTTGTGACAATAAATAATTTACAGTTTGAAATTGGAAACGTGTTCGATTAACTTTTTCCAATAAAGCTTGTAAACTGCAGATCTATAAATAGACGATTCAAAAACTCGCAATGTCGAATATTTGTTCGTTATGCAATGACACACCTTTCGGTATTCTGTTCTGTTCCATTTCTATCGTCATTCGTTACAAATTCGACGCTCAAAAAAACTACGTGTTAGGCAAGGCAACAACCTAGCATTCGTGCGACTCGATTTTTACTTCCCACGCCACTGGCGAGGAAGTATTGTAATCGCGAAACATTTCGAAAATGAGACATGTTTTTTTGGAAACGCCCAGTTTTCGAGGTACTGGCAGGAATCAAAAAACGACTAATAAAAAATCTCCAAAGAATTACGTGAGTAGTACCAGAGTCAATCTACTTGACGCCACATTCTATTTTTCCACAATCTTTTTTGTTGGATGCCCTTTAACGCGAATGAAGATGCAGGCCGGTAAGCCGATTCGAATTTGTTTAAACAATTGCGAATACGAATATTTCGCTTTGTCTATGTAGGAGGTTATTTACTTCGATTTAGGGAATCTTTGGTATGCCACTTAAATGAAATTTTACGACCTGTCAACGACCTAATCCATAAAAAATTCGTAGAGCCATTAGGAAGTACTATTAAAAATGTATACACAGATTTATTTGGGTTACACCATGGCATGATATGTACTTATGCTTGTAAGATACATATCACGTCCGAGAGTGCGAAATGGTCCCGAGACTGTCCGTTAGGGAAGTGTTATGACAATGTAGTCGGGGCGACAGCACCTCAAACATGTGAGCAGTACTCGATACTAGGTCTTATCTAGGCCTTGTACAGAACGAGGAGAGCATGTGGAGAAAAATAGTTTTTTAGCCCTAAATAAACAACATAACTTTTCCCCAGAAAAAAAACGAGATATATTCGCGTATTACCCCCAACGTTTACTAATGTAGTATTGCATTATAAAAGCGCCTTCCTGTTAGGCAGCTAAAATATTTTCAAGCCTTTATCAAAACATGACCTCACCAGCTCACAACTTTAAGTGCCTTGCATTTTTTATTGATCACTCTTCCCAGTAATATTTACACATATTTTATTGGTTGTACGCGTTGATAATGCGAGTATGCTAGGTTGCTAACCGTTTTATTGTTATATATTCGTATAGGTCGCTCATAAAATGCTATTTCAGATATTTTTACCGGGGCTTTGCTCATGCTTATCAGAATTATTTTAATTTTAGTGTGTTAGCACCTTGGACCATAGAAAAGAGTTACACAAGTCGACATACGAAGTCCACAACAAGAGCCAACCTACGATTTTCTCCCTTTTAATCTTCGTTTCCTCAGGTTACACCCGTATCCGGATGCGTGGACATGTGTGTCTACTTTTGTATTGCGTATGTACATTCATTTCGGGCCTGATGAAGCCAACCAGCAGAAATACGTATCGCTCGGGTTACCTATCCTATTTTCTGCTCGAATCCACTTTCATCCATTTTGCGGATTTTGCCCATATTTTCCTACTTTTTGTTATATACCTTTGCTCCGCATGATCATTTTCTCGTTGTAGATCCTTTGGGCTTGAAGTACCACAGCAAATGGCTATAACCGGCCGCGTGGTTGTGGTAAGATGTCTCCTTGAAGATTCGAGGTCTTCTAGCATTTTATACTACAATGTGTAGGTTGGCTCTTGTTGTGGACTTCTTCTGTCCATTTTTTTCCTCTCCATCTTCGTTTCCTCAGGTTACACCAGTAACCGGATGCGTGGACATGTGTATCTACTTTTGTAGTTGCATATGTTCATTTATTTCGGGCCTGATGAAGCCAACCAGCAGAAATACGTATCGCTCGGGTTACCTATCCTATTTTCTGCTCACTTTCATCCTTTTTGCGAATTTTGCCCATTATTTTCCTACTTTTTGTTATATACCTTTCTCCGCATAATCACTTTCTCGTTATATATATATATATATATAAAACTACGCTAAAATACCTAAGTGATTCTAAAGATGGTAAAAATCCACTTTCGAAATTTTTTTTTTCCAGAATTAGTAGTGTTATCTGCATCTTGAAGAACTGAACGCTGAAAACTGTATATAAGCGTATGGATACTCGTGAAAAAATATTGTAACTTGGATTCTACACGATCGTGTGAGTTGCATTTCTTGTTCAGCAAATGTTAAATGTGTATTTAATGTCCAGATCGTTGATTTCCTGGTTAAACTACTGTAGCGAAACATATGACCTCCACATCTAATCTCATTTTTAAATTAGATTTCATCTGAATATGCAGATGCCATACTTTTGTACGAGCTTTTGTATTTTGGATGAATATATAGATATGCACCGCACTTCGGTTGTTAGCATTGTTGCATTCGGAATTTGCGGTACCAAAATACATTATAGGTCCTAATATAATGATCTCCCATCTTTGGCCAATGAAACCACATATATTTGAAATTATTTAATGTAATAAACGTTTCGGTCACTATATGACACTTTTGACAATATTGTATTTATCTATCCTTCTAGGTGACGTTTGTTTTTTCATTTTCAGATTCCCAACATAATAAATAAAAATAAAACTTGTAGCTTGACATTTTCATATGATTTACTACGTGAAAAACATAATTGCCAGGCGATTACGACGTGGGTATCTGTTGAAACGAAAGGTGTGCAATATACAGGGTGTTTCAGATAGACATGCTAATATTTCTAGAATTAAAGGCCATAAGCGTGAAAAATATTTCCTACTAGGGGTCCAGATGCTTATGGTGTTTTAATTTTTAAAATGAGGCAAAAATGAAAGTGGCGACTAAAAATTCCTACCCCTGGTTCTTCACAAAAAGTCATCTTTCGTCGATGATCGGCCCCCCTGTGAAAAACTTCTACGGGTTTAATACTAATTTTACCATTAAGAGGTATTTGAGTGAGATTGTGAATCATGATCCTCATAGAACTGCTTAAATGCTTTATTTGATTGGTTTTAATTATCTGCTAAATACTAATTGTGGCAATTAGCCAACTAAGTCTGAAAGATAGAAAAACAGCGAACGAATCGATTCGATAATCTGTTTGTTATGATACTGATCAATGATTTCTTATTAATCAATCACAAATATTATCTACAGGGTCATTTCATGAAGCAAACCTATGCATTTTTGCAGAAAGATCAGATTTCACATCTGCCTTGGTCAATAACGAAAACCCCATTCCCCGTAGACGTCACGTGTTTGAATATTATACAAGGTGTTCCTTAATGACGTGCTAATATTACAAGATATATTCCTTAAATAATTTTATGAAGAAAAGGTATTATATATATATATATATATATATATATATATATATATATATATATATATATATATATATATATATATATATATATATATATATATATATATATATATATATTATGACTATATGACCATATGTTAGAGACTGTACTTACAGAAAGTACGGTGATTTGAGCTATTTTCAGCTATTTCAAATCAAAAGATTGCCAAATTTTGATTTCTAACCGTTTTCAGGTGTCTAAATATTTTGAAGCATAGTGAAATTAATTGCTAGGAATGTTACATATGAAACCCAAGAAACTAAACACTTGGTTACAGGATTTTAATAACCAGAAAATAAATAAATGAGTACATCTACATCTATACCAACACTGAACTACTCCAAATGCTTATCTATTGGTAACTAGTTATTGAATAAACATGCTGCAGCAATGTTGGAATTGGAACAATGTAAAATGATTTATGAAATTTTAAATAACCAACAAAAGTGTAATACACAAAATTCTGATCACACATGAAGTGCATGATTATGAAACAAGATCAAATAATGATGTACCAGATCCCTACTAGACCTAATATAGAATCTATCAAATAGTGTAAAGAATGTACATGTATTCAGAAATTATGTAAAAACACTCAAAAGTCACTTGAATTGTTGAATTTATTTTAGCTTAAATTCACAATTTTAATACTGTTGTTCTCAAGGCCAGTGTTATAAACACAATTGTAGAACTCTGTTTGCTCTAACATTTGTAAAAAATGACTATTGAATGAAGATTTGTTTAAAGAAAAGAACATTCGATCTTGCATTGACCTGGTAACTCTGAAAGTAGTTTTCCTCAAGATATAAAATTTGGCTCTCTTGCAAATATATTCTTATAATGTGATTTAACTATTTGTTAAGTGTTACATGTTGCATTTCATTTTATTGCTTCTCATCAACTTTTATGTGTTTTTTAAACTTTCTAATTCCTGTGGTTTATTTATGCCTAAGCATAGTTTTTATAATTGGACCATTTTACCATCAATATATGAATAAATGAATACAAGATTACCATAATGGGATATGCTGCAAAAATGCATCTACAAATATCAATCAACAAGTATATTTTTTGGCCACATTGTTATGGAACACCCCATGTGCAATCCAAAGAGGATTAGTTTTTATCATGTACGAGGGATGTCTTTTAAGTTTTGCATATAGAAACATTTTACATGAAGAATTAGGAGTAAGAAAATTAGTTTCTCGTTGGATACCCCACCCGTTGACTCAAGAGCAGAAAGGTTTAATTGGTGTCAAAAAACGCTTGACCGTTTCAATTCCGGAAACTCAAAAAATGTGTACAGCATTGTTAGTGGTAATGAATCGTGGATTTACTGCTATGAATCAGAAAATAAACGACAGTCGGCTGTTTGGGTGTTCCAAGGTGACGAAAAGCCAACAAAAGTAATCTGTTCTCGAAGTGTCTCGAAAAAGATCGTCGCGACTTTTGTGTGTGCAATATTCCTCTTAATGAGCAACGATCTATTACTGCAGATTGATATACCACCATTTGTTTGTTTGTTATTAACGGAAGAAAACGTGGAATTATTGGACGATCCTCCATATAATCCCAATCTAAGTAGTAACGATTTCTTTACTTTCCTGAAAATTAACAACAGACTGGTCAAAGGTTCCAGTCACCAGAAGAAGCAGTTGACACATTCAAAAATACCAGCAAACGAGTGGATGTGTATTAATCTTCGTTGAGAATACTTCAAAAAACAATAAAGTCATTTAAAACTACCGTGTTGTTTTATTTCCATATGCAAAGCTTAAAAAACACCCCTCGTAACAATTCAAAATATGTTTTGTATATCATTGCCTTGGAAAAACCTGTAATCTGATGATTTTACTGTCTCATAAGCAACATTTTGTGATTTTCTTCATAAAAAGTAACTTAAAAATTAAAATTAATGACTTACCCATGCCACTGACTTTACCATCTGTTGGATTCAAGCCCTTGAAGATCTCATCATACTTATGCTTCTCTCTTCCCACAATCCAATCTAGTTCACCAGCACCTGCATCAATACCTTCTCCTTTCTTATAACCAAACGGTGAGGCAGTGTCTTCAACATTGATGAATGCTCCACCCTGAACATTACCATGTCCATTTTGAACTACACTTTCTTCTAATGGTATCTTTGCCATTAGAGTTGATATATCATCGGATAGCATTCTATCAACAATATCTAGCAGTTTTGGTTTGAGAGGATTGAACTTTGTAAAATCACAGTGCTGCAAGACTTCTTGCATCTTCTTGATATCCGGGAAGTCTCCTGGAGAAATCTGGTGCTCCCTTTGGAGCTTATCGTATACAGATGCGAGGTTCTTGATTAGTTCTTTTTTCTTACTATCTTTGCCAATCAGAGGCATTTGTTTTTTAAGTTCTGCAATGATGTAAGCATGTACTTTTGCTAGCCTGGCTCGTTTGATAAGATCGTTTAATTTTCTGAGTGCCGCATTTCTTGGGAGCGATTGCAAATCTTTGAACAAATCTTGTTCTTCATCTTCGAATAATCTCCTGTTAACATCGTATCTCAATGGCTGGTCCCAGAAAGAACCTATGTAGACTCTAGCTACTTCTGGGGTTTGCAGAACTTTTCCCAGAGACCACATCAATGCTCCATATACTCTCATCAATTGCTGGTGGTCTATCATATCCGCTTTATTCAGCACTATACGAATTTTATCATCATGCCCTCTAAGGGCTTCAATTGATCTTCGGAACTCATCAGATATGTCCAGTTTATGTGCATCAAAGAGTAAGATGATTCTATCTACTCTTTCAGCAAACCATTCTAAGACACCAGTGAAATCGTAGCCTCTGTCAACTCGTTGCTTTTCACCAGAGAGGATGCCAGGCGTGTCTATAATCGAAATATTCTGTAGTACTGGAGAGTTAACTAGAGAACACTGCAGACGATTCAAAAAAGCATTCCCAAATTTAGACAGAGGCCTGAATTGACGCTTTGGATCCACAACAAGCGCATTTCCTGGTATCATACCTTCCTTATCATCGTACATAACAGCGATGAATCTGTCTGTTGTTGGCTCTGGTCCTATTCTTATGCCAGGGAAGTCTCTCTCTAACAGGTATTTTATGAATGTGGTTTTTCCAGTCGAATATTGTCCTACTAGCAAGATCATAGGCTTCGCATCGAAATCAGAATCTTCCAGTTTTGGGGAGTGGAAATCGTGGAATTGATAGTGTTCTTCCAGGGGGAGAAGCTTGTGTTTATAAATGTTTTTAAGGCCCTGCACAACATTTTCGTACATCTCCTCCTTCTCAGTATTCTTTGTTAGCCAGCTAAACATTTTGAAGTCTTTTTACACACTGTTAAATACTGAAACACTCGCGAATGATGAATTCAAATAAGAATTACTGATATAGCACTCAAACTCTGAATCAGCTTTCTGACACTGGAAAATCTAGAAAATGACAGATGACGAAACAGTCAAATACGAAGCACATCGCAGATGGCAATGCGAGAATGACGTAATGGCTAGAGAAGGTAACTCGTAAGTTCGATAGTATGAATATCGATCAAACTACTAGGATGATCCCAGTGATTTATCTCGTTATCTAAAATGTATGATTTTATGTTTAAATCGCTCACAAAGTAGATTTATATCGAAGCGAACGTTGGAAAAAACAAAACAGAGAAAATTCTAGATTAGTCAGATGACATACTATACTGGATTCTGCTAGTGATGGTACAGACCGTGGATTCGACTTTAAAAGTCGATGATTCTATATCACGGTTCCAAGTGTATGGAACAAGTCAGAAAAATCCTTATTTCGGTTGATTTTGCTTTAAAATCGGTAGTTCGGTAGACCAGGACCAAAATCACTGGTGTTACCATTACCAGTCTACCGCTAAAACGGTATTTCTACCGCTTTAGGGCGCCATCTACCGATATCCAGTTTTACTTCTTTAATATACCGCTTTATCATTCTCGGTGCGTAAATACTAGTCGATGGAAGCAACGATTGAAATCTAACTTCTATCTAGTAGATGGCGCAGTATGTACGACGCAGACCCAAACATTTATCGACCGATATGTGGAATTATATTTTTCAGGATTTGAGATTAAGAGTGGTTGCGGAGGGTTCACAGATCAGAGAAGTGAGATATTATCCACCATATCCAGCGAGACGTCCCATTTGCCAAGGGGGAGTAGTATCCTCTAGATCTAGAAGTAGCACTCTGGACTCTTTCAAAGAACTTTTTCAGATAGAAATATATTTTTTTATTTGGCAGTTAATATGTGGAAAGTACCGAGTCAATCTAGTTGGCTGTGTTCGAATACAAAAACAAATCGGACGTTGAATCTCCATCTCTCAGTTAAAAAACATAACTGAGGAGAGATAAGCAAAAATATATTTGGGAAAGGAATTTAGGAAGTTTCCTATAATTGAAAATGTTGCTATAAGTACAGTTCTTAGGTTTAGAATCATAGAACCTCAGAAGGACAAGTGACCACAAAACAGGACTACAATAAAACGCTACCTGGCCACATTGCATGTATAAGAAATCAGGACAATTAAATTTATTTAGAACACCATTTATTCCATTTATTTTTATCTGTGGCTTAAAACTCGTATTTCTATTATATTTTGACCAATATGTCTTTATAACTATATTAATTCATATAATATATTATAAACTAGTAATATAGATTTCATTTGTCCGACCACCGAAAGGGACAATGTTGCCACATGGTCGGTAAAACTACCAGTAGGCAGGGAAATAATGTCTATGGACTAATTGTATGGGTGTGTTTGCCTGACTATACGTTTAATTTAAATTTAAATTGCAGTGAACTTAATCCTTTATGAACTGCGTAGGAAGTGCAGAGTCAACCCACTTGACGCCGTTTTTAACTTCTCGCATTGCAATCTGCATGTGATAAGATAGTGATGAAGAAACTCCCGTTACTTCAGACAGCATCCAGGCTAGAGATAATTTGTGCTTTTAGAAAATAGTGACTAATACACGAGCCTAAATAACTTTTTATTGCAATGGAGATGATATGAAAGGAAATTGCTTTTACGGGGTGGCAATTCAAGCGGAAAATTAAAGGCAAATAAAAATGTTTTCCTGCCCAAATATGTATACATTTATGAATGTTTCATGCCGAACTTTAGCGGAGCACTCAAGAACGTATTAAAGCCGAAAAATCCATGCATTCAGAATATTTTTCTCAAGTCGAACGAGTTGATTTTGTGTCATTACTTCCTTGGCGTATTTTATATTGATGCACAGGCGTAGAGGAATTCTCTTATACAGGAACTCCTGCGTACAAAGGAGCGGTCGTACCGGTCAGTTCCGGAAATACGAAGTTCGACACGGTCAGGATAAGAGGCCGAAGTCTGCCGGGTTTGTCTGGCAGGCTCATCGCGCGGCAGTATCATAGAGGAGAGCCCTGAGGAGCAAAACCCGTTGACATAGCGGTAGAAGAGAGCCAGATTGCCCACTGTCCGTCGGTGTGAAAGGGTCCCGAGACTGTCCGGTAGAGAAGACATATATGCCAAAAATTATCAAAATCGGATAAACATACGCAGTTGTTTACCTTTTTTGTCACTCTGTATATATTCTGTCGTTCCCGATTAACTCACTGGCTCAGAAACAAATAAAAGGGTAAGTGTCAGTTTTTGTCCTGCCACTGTATAAGACTTTCAAGATCACCTGAGTTGAATAACACGAACGAGATGTGTTCATTAGTTTCCATTTGGAATGATATCGCAAATATTCGACCCTCGTAACACTCACCTCCCCAATTAGTAGCAAACATGGCTAGATCTCGGTCTTTTGGCACGTAATGATTTGATACGAGTTAAGCGACTGTTAATAAAATAATCCCTTCATGTAGGGGCAACCAGTGGCGTAGAGCCAGGGGCAGTTCGTTTGGCCGTGGCTGGAGCTTTCTGCCCCAAAAGCTGCCGGCATTTTGATTAATCTTGTTGTAGACCAAGATTGCTTACGGAGCTTACAACGGAATGGGCGCGTACCCTTATAAGAAAAATTGATAGACCTGGTAACACTGGCCCTAGCTCTAGAGCAACAAACTTTGAACGCCTATGAGCAGGGGGAATGCACGGAGTTGAGGGCGTTTCCGAATGACACTGCGATCTTTCGAAGTAGCAGTCGAGACCGTAGCGTATTTCTAGCCCATACTGAGCTCCCTGAACCGTGATAACATTATTGGGAGGTGTCCAAGTGGAAATAGGGCTTAAATATTGTTGCCTCGATATTAAGCTGTAATCCTTCGGTAAAATACGCAGGTGTTCCCGGTATTTGCAAATAGTAAGCTCGCTTACGCTTCCTGAATTTCCAGAAAAAGCGTTGGGAACCAACGATGGGGAACGTCTGGGATGACAAATGTTCGCTGAGAGAAAATGGAGACAAAGACTACTGTTAACGGTACACTGAGAAAACGTGGACAATTAAACAGTGTTTCTGGAACATTTTCATTACCTGTAATTAATTATTTAGTTCTTCTAAGATACTAATTTATTCGGTTTACTTAAACTGAATTTTTTGAAACCGCTATTAAACTAATATGCTTGGAAATAGCAAACCATATACCTGATCTATCAAACTGTTTAATTAGTTTGGGTAATTTAGTGTATGTAGAAAAGATACATTTAAAGCAATTAAACATTTCAATAAAAACAGTTATACTGTTTATTTGAATGAAATGATCATTTCTCGCTCAACTCATTTTAATAGTTCATTAATTTCGAATAAAAACCCGTATTCAATCTAAGTAAACGGTTTTATGCATGTAATTAAACGATTGAGTATTGATATAATTGAACTACTTTGAAAAATTTAAGTTAACGTTCTTAGAAATCGAAGTTTAACTAAACTACTTAACTTGGTTAATTAAATCTTTTGCCCGGCTTAATTAGGGTTCGATTTTTTTCTCAGTGTAGGTGAAAACACAGTCAAGAAGAATGACTCGGTACTTTCCACGTATTAAAATAAATCTGTTCTTAAAATACGTAGTGGAAGATTATTGTGAACGCTCTTATCAGTAAGCAGAAATAGCCACTTAAAAATGCCTAACGCTGATTGGCTAACCAATGATCGTCTTTTGTACCTCAACCAATACGAATAAACTCATACCCAGCACAAAAAACAGGAAATATTAGTGCGAATGCTCTTATCAGTAAGCAGAAATAGCCACACAAAAAACGCCTAACGCTGATTGGCTAACCAATACGATTAAGTCCATACCCAGCGCAAAAACAGGAAAGATTAGTGCGAACGCTGTTATCAGTAAACAGAATTAGTCGCACAAAAAATGCCTTATGCGGATAGGTCGACCAACACGATCATCGTTTACAACCGCAAATTGTACGAAAGCCTTGCTAGGTATGTAGAATAGGCGGGGCATTTTTTTTTCACGCACGATATATTTTATTAGTCACTTTAGAAAGGTGAAAGCCTCACATTCGTGGAACACGTTGTTCAACACCGTTTTTACTAGGTGAGGTGGTATTGTTTATTTCAGTAGACAGCAAAACATAATGGATACTCGTAAGAAAGACCATATAGACACGGCCGCTCCTCTGGTGACTCGGCAACTGTGTGTTTCGGTGGTAACGGGCTTACTGATCGCCATTCGGATATCAGCGTGGCGGTTGCCAGTCAAATAGGTGACTGCTGGAGACAAATTTACTAGTTTCCTACAATGAATTTTTAATAATCCCAAACGGTCATTTACAGCGACCAGATCAGCTCAGCGCTAACCTAGACAACATCATATCATTTCGGAATTTGGGGGGATACGGACTCCCAGGACACTCCCCTGGATCCGCCCCTGCGCAGAGCCCCAAGGTTCCACGTACACTGATTGGGAAACAGCGCCGTTGTATCAGTAGTCGGACAACATTTTACCAGTGGTATATTGAAACGTTGAAGCACCTATTGGACAAGCGAAACACATTAGTAGAAATTATGTAAAATATAAATGAAATGCAAGTGTTTTATTGGCGTAGATCCGTTAGTTCCTGTACTAAACTGATAGAATCGGATCAGGAATACTGCTTTTAATTCGCAAATTCAATTGGCCGCTCCTACGAAAACCCTTTGATTTCAAAGCAAAGCAAAGAGCGGAGGAGTAGTTGTTATCGGCTTGCCTGCTCTTCTAATGTACAGGATGAGCTATTTTATCAGCAGATCATCCATTAGTATATTTCCTGGTCGCCTACCAACTTTGAATGCTCTTCTGGCACAAAGAGCCTAATCTGAATCAAGAGGGCGGGTGTCACTCGCCAACTTTGATTAAACCCTATAGGCGTAGGGTAGAAACGAAGTGCCAAATGGATAGGAAAGTTGTAGGAAGGGATGGGAATCATGCGGCACCGGCATTCATGTCAAACTGGTGACGCTTCAACGCTGCGATTGCAAGGAACATCTCGGATTTGGAAGGATTATTAAATTGGATAATTGCGCCCTGCCTTTGACATACAGTTAGTTCGGTCAACTTGGAATTTCATTCTACATTAAATAGGCTTTCCGAAGAAGTGCGCCACTAAAAAGTAACAAAAGATTCGATGTATGTTTTTGTGAGAACAGATTACTAACGCATAGTAAGTTACATGCAAACACTGTTGCTTATCTATCTATATCATAATAATGGTGTCATAATCAAGTGAGTAAACAAAAAATGTCGTCATGTAGGTTGAC